GGAGACAATCGGCCACAGGAAGCCTTGTCCGGACCTAGGTTTTGTGCTAGTTGGCACTCACCAGTCAGTCAGCAAGCAAGGCATATCTGCAACCACAATGAAGGAACAGCTCATATCCCTTTTGAGATTCGAACCCGCGTCAACCAGTGAGTACTGCAGTCAGAGACGTTACCACTGAGCTATTCGGGCTCACGATTGACCTCCTGTAGGACTGACTATAGTGGGTATTTTCATTGGACACTAGTAACTAGTGTGATGTGTCCAGTCTTTTCTTTGGTGCAAACTGAATTCTATCAGTCAGGTTGTAATGTGGAGATACGCTTTGCTGACTGGCTGATGAGTGCCAACTAGCACGAAACCTAGGTTGAGCGAGGCTTCCCCTGGCCGATAGTCTGCAACCATCTAATATCATCAAATCAATGTGAACCGTGATGGCGAGCTAAGTAGAATGGTGGCCACATTAAAAACCTGACTGATAGAATTCAGTCTGCACCAAAGAAAGGACTAGACACGTCACACTGATTACTGGTGTCCAATCAAAATATAATAATTAACCTCTAATATGTTATTTCACTAGCCCCAAGACGACTTTTGGTCGATGAGGCCCCCCCCCATACTCACAGGTTCTAATCCCGCTCCATCTAATACTTCAATCTCGGTCACCTTGTACCCTAAGAAGCCTCCCTCCCCCATAAAGGTGTAGTTTATAACCTGGGGCATGAAAGACCTATTTTCCAGAGTTCAAACAAAGCCTCTCTTATCAATCTTCCCCACTCGTCGCCCTGTTAATTGCATTAGATTTTAAAATTGTCATTTTATCCCATCCAGCCTATTGTATGGTAGGTTGTGTGTAATTGGATGTAGTGGTTGCGATAGTTGCTGAACTCGTCTCTAGATTTCTTATCTTATTCGGTCGGGTCAACTAATCTAGATTTCGCAGCTAGGTTTTTGTGCTTCTTGGCTAGTCTGACTGACTCACTGACTGACCCTGTTCTACTACTTCGACCCATCTATGTATTTGACGTGACAATCATTCCAGCAGACAGCGGATTAGAGATAAACTAAACTGTTTTGTCGGTTAAAGGCTCCACAAGATTGACCTTTAACCGACAAAGCTTGTTTCTAATTGAGTTTGTGGTTGGTTTGAATATCAGCCAATTTTATTCCTGTCTGCCTTGTTAAGAATTCTCCGCTGTAAGCTGGTTTCCGAGGTTTCTTCCTTGTATGGAATTACTACTGATGATTTAGATTCCTTATTTTTGGTGTTGTCATTATCCTGTGCACATTTGACATGCATGTTGTCATTAATATTATTATTATTACTATCACTACTATCATTATTTATTTTATTTTTACATTTCCTTACATATTTCCTGACTAATTAATTTATCAGGTTAATTGTTAAGTAGTTCCAAGGCTTCTCTTATACGTGGATCACTTCCTGTCTTAGATTTTCCTTGGTAGTGCTTAGTTTTTGTGCTCTGTTGTCACTTAACCACTTCACCAATCTTATTTTCACTGACATAGGATGGGTGGGCTGATCGGAAATCCATATATCTGCTGGACTGTGTGGGTCTCCTGTTAAACACACTAGCGTGTTTAACTTCCCATCTTCTTCCCTTTTTACTCTACAATCTAACATTGGAAGCTCCGCTTCCTGACTTTCCAATTCATAAGTGATTTGAATTGGATTGCCTTCACCTTTTAGTTATAATGTGTTCGAAAAATCTATCTATATCTTGTGTTCTAAGTACAGTGAAAAACAAAATGTTTCGAAGTTGTATGATTATAATGGGTGATAGGTATGATTGTGAACAGCAATAATGAATTGTGTTCGAAACTTTGTCATTGAGTAAATACTAGTACTGTTTCACTCAGACTGTGTGATATATCCATCTAATAAACAAACTAATATGGAATTACTTACAACCGCCAGAGGACGTTAACGGCTTCACTTCCTTGGGAAGTATCATCAGCCACAACGGGTTGATCTCTGACGAAATCTCAGCACGGATACAGAGGGATAGTTTCGCATAAACCAGTTTACGCCGTCCCTGGCGTAGACGTGATATCCGACTATCAACCAAAGGACGGGTGTACTGCTCATCAGTCCGCTCAGTCCTGCTTTATGGCCAGCTGTGAGTGAGACCTGGCCATTGAGAGTGAAGGACATGAAAAGATTAGCTGCCTTTGATCATAGGTGCTTGCGTTCTATCTCCCGTGTGAAGTGTTATATTGAGGTGAGGCATCGGTCGAGTGCTAGGTAAGGAGGAGGGGAAATCAATCGACGAGGCTGTGAAATTACATCGACTGAGATGGTTAGGACTTCCGTTACGCATGCATGCCCAATCATCGCTTTCCTCGACGGGAAATGTTAGCTGACATAGGGTCAGACTGGAAAAGAGAGAGCTAGCTGCGGTCAAACCAAAACATGACTTCACCAGTCAATGAAATCTACAACAGTTAGTCTAAGCCACGTGGGAAGGTGTAGAGTTCGTGGTTGGAGTCATCGGGACGGTAAAGACCAATGAAGACTGAAAACAATTGGTGACATGGCTCAAAATCGTTCTCAGTGGCTGGCTGGCTGTCTCAGATGCATCCACTCCTTGTGACTTGTTATTTCCAATGAAACTATATTGTTCTTCGTTCGTTATTACTATTCCTTTTTTGTCTGACACCTCTGTTTACTGTCTCTATTATGCATTTCTTTTGCTCTCTTCTGTTGGTTTGTGTGTTACATGGAAGGGGTGTGGCGACTTGAACTGCCGCACATATGTGCAAAGTTCTATGTCGAAAACAGACAGTAAATACTAACACAGTTTAACTCACTGACTGTGTGGTGATACATCTAATAAACAAACTGATAATATGGAATTACTTGCTACTACTACTACCACCACTACAGTGCCCAAGTTTTACACATATATATTAGCCTGTACCTTATCATCTTATACTTCATTTTGCGAAAAAAGCCATTCGCCAAACAATCAATATATATAATTGTGCAACTGTTTTAGTAATATATTCTGATCGGAATGCAAAGCTATTAGAATATTTTGTTTGTATTGCCGATTTAAAACCAAACACTGGCGTCATTAGCATTCTTCTTCTTCTTCTTAATTATTGTTTGCATCTTTTATTTTGTTGTTTCGATTATATGTTCATATAGAGTAAAAAACAAATAGGATTCCTTTCTTTTTTTGTTTTTATTCCCTAGATATCTTATTTTCAAGTATTGGTTTTGTAGGGATTTTGTGTTTGATTGCGTGGAGGATTTCATCATGAGCTGACACATCAGTTAGAGAACCACTGGAAAACCAGCAGGCAGTACTGGACTGCATTTTCGTCAGCCTAGTTTGTGATTCTTCAGCAGTACGCACCCACCTCACTGCCAGGGTCTGACACCCAGGACCTTCTGGTTACAAGACCAGTGAGGTAGCTCGTAGACCATTGAGCCACTGGGACCCGATCCAATGGTCCTTGAATTCTAACTCCTGCCAATTCACGCACGATACATAGAGGGACCATTCCGCAATGTCTTCTTCGATGAGTGATTTACTGCGTCATCTTTAACCTGCTGTGTACCCTACTGGTCACGGCTTCCCAATAGAACCACCTCAGGTCACTGCCTACCTGAATAGAGCCAGTCGCCAGTGAGCATCAGATTAATTTTCAAGTATTGATATTTTCTTAAGGAATTTAGTTTGATTGTATGGAAGGTTGATATCATGAGCTGACATCATCTAGAGAACCACTGGAAAACCTGAGAGTCCTGGACAGCTGTTTGAGATCACAAAACCCCATTAGTAATAGAAATCCTTCCATGCATTACATAGTGTTCCCAGTTCATTGGGTAAAGATGGTTGCAGTGTGTGTGTGGGGGGGAGGGAGTTATATCTCATTCCTTGCTAAAGTCTTCTTTGTCTTAGATATACTAGGGTGGTGATGGGGTTAGGGCTTACTCAAATCCAACTCTAACATTCGTCTGACATGTCAACGCTGGTTGTTTGTTCACAAAAGATGGATATAAAATAAAGTGTGGGATATCAAATGTCATGTCTGTGTGTCTAGTGTCCTTAAAGAAATGAAGAGTCGACCGGGTTAGGATATAATCTGGAGGCCTTTGTAACAGAGTAGCATAGGTGTGTGTCCGTTTTATTTCAAGAAATTATTAAAGTATCTGTCACACATTGTGTAACAGCAGAAGGCGGCAAGATACGAGGAAGCCAAAGTGTATAGCTTTCATTGATCAAACCGTTTATATTCGCTTAACCAATCACTGAGCGTGTGCGTGATCCCGGTTTACACCAAGGAATATTCAAATATGCATAGTATTCTGTTGTTAATGCCGAATTGAAACTTTGGGATTCTTCTTTGGGTACCTGAAACAGAGAGAGTTAGTCTTGCGTGACCGCAGCCCAGGGGACAACTGTCTGTATGAACTGGTTTCTTGGTTTGGTTCCGTATTAGTAAACTTACCGCCGGTTACGGACACCACGGTAGGTGAAGTAAGTCGAGATGTACAATTTTTGGAATCGACCTTTTCTAATCCCCCTCTCTTTCTCCAGAATGGAGAGACAGCATAGCTGGCTGGCACGCTGGTCATCTGAGAGAGACACCTTACTGTGGCTGTTACACCCCTGTTCCCCAGCAGTGCGACTTCGCCCACAGATCACCAGCATCGTGTACGTAAGATTCTTACACCATGCAACAACATGGCAACATCATCACTGACTCACTGGGGAATGCAGGTACATCCAGTTAGCTGACGAGTCCCAAATAGGACCGGTGAAATGCACGTTATCCTGGACTGGATTCCAATGCTAATCACCATCTACCAATTGAATATTAATAAATAGAGGTTTTTTACTTGCAGTCAGAGTCTCAGGTTACATGACTTTGTTCCACTTTGTTACAGGATCCTGGTTATTGCCAACATTATTATTACTATTATTCTTATGATTTTATACGGTTTCTGTTTTTTTACTTTCCATTTTAAGATGCCCTGGTATGCATGACTCGTAGTCAACTACAGAAGTTTGCTCAATACCTAATTGCTTCACATCCAAATAAAATTTTACCCAGTGCACAACGACTCGCCGACCAGTTACTACAACCGGAATCAACTATTAATAAAACGTCAGGTAAAGATTTTTAATGTGTGTTATCGCCTGCCTTCATCGTTGCCTTTCATACATTTTGTTCCCCTTCATGAATTTAAACAAAGAAGCAAGAACTACAGTGGTTTTTGTGCAGAATAAACTGAGTGGTACCATCCTTTGTTTATTTCGTTGCCTTCTCGTCAGCTGCTCACAGGCCAAAGACATTATTAAGTATATCTACAAAAACAATTTTAACATACTTGCACAGAGTTCATCTTTGAATAAAAATCAATCATTTCATACATTTGATTCCCTTGATAAATTTTGATAGAGAAAGAAAGACCAGATTTGCGGTATAAAATGATATCATTCTATTTCACAGGTTCTCATCAGCTACAAACTACCTGAAATTACAGTGGTTATAAATAATAACATTCCATACTTCATTGTTTGAAAGGTAATGGAGAAAACATAAGGTGAACGCATCTGGAATATAAGTATTATAATCGAAGTTACCATCAATTTATGTACTATCAAACTATGAAAGAAGAAAAAAAGAGGGGGGTGAGAGAAGACAGAAAAATCTAATAAACAGTGTCAACATAGCAACTCAAGAAGGTCAAGGTTCATCAATTTGAAAACTTGCTTAGTGAGTTGAGCTCACTAGTGTGTATGACTAATCAGTGTAATGAAAGTGATATGGCTACCAAGGGAGTTAGAGATTGACCACACTCTCTTTCTGTATGCACAAGTTTTATTGCAATTGCTTCAGCAAATCGTAGTAGATTCGCTGTCTTTTGTATGTTTAATATTTTGAAGGATTTAGAAATCTCGACAAAATGACCCCTATCCACACGGTGGGTGTCTGGTAATTGCACTTTGTGTGTTGCATCAAACAAAAATCAAATAATCCACGTGCAAAATCCACGGGTCTTCTAGGTTCTTCACGTCGGTCGCCTAGATTGCACTTTATAAATATCTGCTTCCTTTTAGGCATAAGTTTCTTGGAATATGCTCTGAAAACCGGATAGAAGCCCTTCTTTTTGTCCTTCTAATGTACTTGCTGCCGCAGGTACACGTAAATTTATAAATGCAGTTGTAGGTAACATCAGCAGCGTACTTATCCAGTTTCGATTGCCTTATAGAGCATGTAGTACTGTACAGTATATGCATACAGTAATAATATAATTATTATTGTTTCCTTGGGTTCCTAGTGGAACATAGGGCTTCAACTGCACGTCTCCACTTGCTTCTGTCTTCTGCTTTACTTACTTTTCACCTGCATCCATGTTAGTCCATACTCCTCTTTCAACTCTTCACACGATCTTCCCATGTCGGTGGCGCAGTGGCTAGGACTCTCGCCAACCATGCACATGGTCCGAGGTTCGATCCTCTCCCGACGCACACCTGATATCAATGGTCGGCCTGAAAAATTTGGGCTACCGATATCCATGCTGAAAATTCCATACTTGTACCAAAAATACAGTGTGGAATTAAGCTGTAAATTAAAAATAAAAAAATGTCACCCTTGCACTGACGGCCCACTCGCCGCTTGCTTCCCTTTCGGGTTCCACTCTAGCCTGACGCTCGCGCGATGTCACCCAGCGAGTGTCCAATCCATCTCCATCACTTTCTCCTGCATATTTGTTGTTGTTGGGCGATTGGTTCTTGCTTTTTTTGTTTGTTCCCATAGTTTCTTGTTGTTGGTGATTCCCTCCGGCCCGGCCCGGCCCGGCCCGGCCATCTGATCTTCAGTATAGAGCGAGGAGAGTTAGTTATTGATAAAGGTAACGTCTGCAACAGACTGTTTATTTGGAAATATTCTTTGTGACCCACCCACCAAGTTTCTAATCCGTATAGAAGAACTGACTGACTTGACGTTGTTTGTATTGAAAATCCGACCGAATTTTGTTGTTGATGTGACGTTGAGTGACGAAGATTTCCGGATTGGTTTCAGGTTGATGAGTGAATGCGTTTCTCGCCTTCCCGATTCTCGCTCGATTTGACGTCGTCGTCCGTTCTGACTTCCTGTGGTTGAGACAATGTTCCCTCCCTAAATAAGTGAATGATGAAGTAAGCTCTTTCAAATCCCTTCCGTTGATGGTGATTGGCGCTGGATGTTGCTGTTGTTGTTGTTGGTTGGTTGGTTGGTTATTTGCACAATCTCCCTCTTGTCTATGTTCATTAGGAGTCCTGTGTTCACTGTCTGCTTCTTCGACCAGTTTGTCGGTTTTCGCTTCTAAGTCTTCGATTTTGTGTTGCATCGAACAAAAATCAAATAATCCACGTGCAAAATCCACGGGTCTTCTAGGTTCTTCACGTCGGTCGCCTAGATTACTAGCACATGGTCCGGGCAGAGTTCGATCCCCGGCCGCCAACGCACTCCTTCCTTTACCTCGCTAAGCCAGAAATAATGCTGGTAGAGAGGAAAGGTTGGGCCAGATGAGGCAGGCTAGCAACCCCACCCTGTTATAATAATCACCTTTGTGCTACAGAAATTTCAAACCACTAGCTTGAAGTTGCCCTATATTCCACTGGTTACGTGGAGGAAAAAAATTCTCCCATCTCCTGTTTGTGCGCTTAATTTTTTTTACTGAACATCTGTTGTGTGTTGAAAATCGTTTACTGTATGTGCGCGCAGAGACTAGTGTGTTGTACCATTGTCAGCTGATTGTCGCTTAGTTTATGCGTGCTTAATTCTCATAATAATGTTTTGTGAATTTGCCCCAATTGGGATGTGTGCGTAGGCCTGAAAATTGGTGCTTTGTTCAGAGAGGGAGAGGGGGGTGTGAGTGAATAAAATGATTAACCAATCAGTTTCTTTGCTATAATAATATAGAAGGTCATTTATTTGTGTAAAAGGGTCTAATTTTTTTTATGATCTCTTTACAAAGCAATATGTTTACACTGAAAAACATTTTTTAGTGTTAGAACAAGACACACAAGTGAACAATATTTTATTTTTGATTACAGCTTGAATCCACACCATATTTTTGGTACAGATATGGAATTTTCAGCATATGATCTCGGTAGCCGACATTTTGCAGGCCGACCATAGATATCAATCAGGTGTGCGTCGGCAGGGGATCGAACCCCAAACTTACCTTGTACATGATCGACGAGAGTACTAACCACTGTGTCACCGACGTACATTAGATCTTCTTCAGGCTTTACTCTAGTTTACATAGATTTATATATAAAAATGTTAACCAATGACGGTGATTTTTTGGGATCATACAATAATAATATCAATGTGGTAAATGTTTTGAGTGTCAATAATAACGATAATTATAATGATAACAAATTAATGATAATAAGGTTTATTCATGTGGCGATAAGAATAACGAAGGTAGTGAGTGATATGCGTATATGTAGACAATTCAATAAATAAATAAATTAGGTCAAATTTTAAAAGTTACGTAATACTGAACGTAGGTGAAGTGGACAGATAATCAGTGTTTAAATAACTATCATAAAAATACGAAAGAGATGAAAAATAAGAAAGGGTGGGAAGGTTTCGAATAGAATTCCCCTAGGCTAAGCAAGGGAGAGACAAAGGCAGAACAAACTTCTGTTGTATGCAAAGACACCAGGAGTGTTCTCTCGACTTAATTCCCATAGCTTCTTCGGCTATGTGTGTAAAAGACGGGTTCTGATTTCGTTCGAAAGGTGGTTCTATGGAATGCGATAGATAACTTTGAAGGCACTATTTTTGTCCACTTGGTGACCGCTTTCATCAATCAAATGAGCCAAAATAGAGCTTCTAATAGATTTTATTGGATATTTTCCGAACCATGAAGGAAGATGCTTAATAATGCGTTTGTTAGCCTGTCTAGTTGTTCGCCCTGTATAGCCAGCTTTCTCTATACAGAAGCAACTGAATTTATAGATACACATGGAAGTGGCACTGCTGGCTAGTTAGCTTGTCTTTTGCTTGAGCAATCATAATTTGTCGACAAACAAAGGGTGGTGGCGGCAGTATAAGTCCGTTTTATCGCTCTCCATAATCTCAGATGTTGTAAGACTCCGCTACTAGCCACGTCCTCATTAAATTAACTATGTTCAAAACATTTACCACATTATTATTTTTATTTGATCCACAAAATCACCGTCATTGGTTAAAAATTTTATGTATAGATCTATGTAAATTAGAGTAAAGCCTGAAGGGATCTAATTGAAAACAACAACATTGTTCGACTATTATATGTCTTGTTCTAACATTAGAAATGGGAATATTTAAGGATATTTTAATGTCCTGCTCCCCACCCTCTTTCTGTGCTGACAATAATAATAATCATAATCAGCATTATGATAAGTTTGCTAATATGGGAAATAGATTAATTTTATGATTATTACCAATCCCTCTGCACCACACTGAGCGTATACATCACGTATGTGTCAGGCATGTCCGAGATTATCATTGTCCATTGTGTGTGTTTTATGACTCATCGTGAAAGCAACTTGTGTGTGATGACCATCTTTTTCAAGTATAATTAATCTCAAAGATCACAAAGAAAAATGGGGCTTTGAACAAAAATTCTCTCCTACCATCTACCTATCATCTTTCACAACGCCCTGACCACCACTGCCCTCATACTTTTGATTGCAGTCTATTTCTGACTGATTGTGTTTTTCTCACCCCCTCCACTTTGTGCGTGTTTGTGTGCATACATTTTTTTGATTTAGATCTAATCCTGCTGTGACGACTAGTTTCAATCCCTGTATTTAATTGTTCCATTTCCTTCTCTCCCTGTGTTCTCATACGATTTATGCGATGACCTCGTCCGAACACACAGTGTTCTGTTTGTTTCCTCTGTGTGTGATGGGTGAATAATAATAATAATAATAATAATAATAATAATAATAATAATAATAATAATAATAATAATAATAGCAAAAACAAGAGAAAAATCAATATGTTGTTTCTCATTAAATTCAGCCTGTGTCTATCACCTATTATCACTCTAAAGACACTTGCCTATGCAAATTTCTTCCCAAAAGAAAAGATAATCGATTCATTGTGTTGTGATGGTGAACATAGAGAAAACAGAGGTAGGTAGGTAGGTGATAAAGATACCTGGGTAACCATCACACAGCAATAGCAATAACAACAGACAATAATCAGCCAGCATAAATGGGAGGAATCCGAAAGAAACAGCCTCCTTCACCCATAACTTGGATGCATCGTTTCAACTACAGGCGGACGGAACTGACTAGGATTGCATCAAAACAAGCTTTCATTACTCTCAATTCTGTTTGTAGGGGGTCAACAACGCTACTCACCATGAAAATAAAAATAAGATCCGGGTTTTCAACTCCAATGTGAAGTCAGTCAGTGCTACTCACTATACGGATCAGAGACTTCGCCAGGGCATTATAAAGTGCTCGAGTCGAACCCCGAAGGGAACTGGTGAGTTGGTCGTCATTGCGAAGATGGGGTGACTTGGAGTAGGAGGTCGTGTGAAGAGGAGATGATGAAAGCATGTGGGCAGACTTGGAGCCAGCCAGGTGAAAAGTTTAGCGAAGAACGGAAGGCAATGGGGACGTGCAGCTGAAACCCTATGTACCTCTAGGAATTAAAAGAAATAATGTATTGTGGTACCCAATAGATACCCAATACCAATTCTTGATTTAGAGCTACTGGCACCAACCAATGTCGTCGGTGGGACGTCCATCCTCACACGTGACATCTGGATGGACCTCACTGGTCACGACTTCTCACTAGAACTGACTACAGGAAACTCCATCCTGTAGGGGTCACTAGCGTGCATCAGATTAATTTTTTCTATAGTTTGGTTTATAAGGATTAGTTATGTTTTTTACGAGTTGATCACGGATTGATATATTGGAAGGTCCTGGGTTCGAACCCTCTGTGGAGTAGGTGCGTAATGTCAATGATTCCCAAACTAGGCTGATGAAATAGCTGACTGTCCAGTACTCCCTGTGGCTGGTTTTCAGTGCTTCTCTGTGCTACTTAACATGCCAGGAAGGTTGTTAGGATAGCGATTAGACTAAAAGCAGTTATACTATGTTGGGGGTCTGTGGGCGAAGTCGTACGCTACTGGGGAATAGGGGTGTAACAGCAGTGAGGTGTTTCTCTCAGATGACCAACGTGGCAGCCAGCCAGCTATGCTGTCTCTCCACTCTGGAGAGAGGGAGTTAGAAAAGTCCAGCCACAAAAATTGTTCATCCCGACTTACCTGACCTACAGTGATCCGTTACCGGCGGCAAGTTCACTAATACGGAATCAAACCAAGAAACCAGTTCATACAGAGTGTGTGTGTGACCGACCGGCTGGCCTCAAGCAGTTGTCCGCTGGGCTCTGCGGTCACGACGCAACACTAACCCTCTCCTTCTGTTTCAGGTACCCAAAGAATCAATCAAATTCCACAGTGGTATGGGCAGCCGGGAAGTAACAACCGCCCTCCCCACACACTTCCAAAAGCATTTCACTTCCGTTAGTCTGAAGTCTGTTTGAAATGCTTTTTTGGTGACGTACTATATGCTGGCACTGTACAAAATATTCTAATACTTTTATTTTATTTTATTTCTGTATATATAGGCGCACCTGATCCAACTGCCGGTGGAAGTCTACAAGAAGTAGCTGCATGGTATCTTGATGAAGCTGGTGTTCGTGAACAGCTGCGTACTGAATTGACTCATCTAGCTAGTAGTAGTAGTAGTAGTAGTAGTAGTAGCAATACTACACTTGTTGGAGGACTATATGGAGGTGGTGGTGGTCAGTCGGGTTCCTCTCAGCTTTCTGGATCAAATACGGCTGCATCAGCTTCATCAGTCGCTATGCAACGATCAAACAATTCACATCGATCACATCCCAGCTCTTCATCTTCATTGGATAATAATAATAGTCGTGGTGTTGTTAGAAATCAAAGCGGTAAGTGATCTAATTTGTAAGACTGTGACTGTATTGGACAATGTGGCTAAGTCTTTGGAAAACACAAGATGATTATGGGGTGGGCTAACAATGAGTGTATGACGTCATGTGTAGCCAAGTCATCCAAATATATACAAGATATTTTAGTTGAATTTTAGATTTTACCGATTTGAATGTACGTGTGACCACAGACACACACACACAAATATACATAAGGAGGACTCATCGATCTCTGCATGTAAGGGCTGGCTGGCTTCGGAGCATATTCCTAAATGGCCCCAGAGAAAATAGAATCTTCAGAACAGACGAAGACCTAGCTCCTCTATTGCGAAACATATTATAGAGGAGACGGGACATAAAATTGACGTTAACACATCTTTTAAACCTATCTATCTATGTACGAGATATGTGGAAATAATAAAGAGAGTTAAGAGGTGGGTGAGAAAATAGACTTGACTTCTTACGTCAAGTTAAAAGGAGGAAATATTGAAGGTGAAAATAACAATGAAGATGAATGACTAAACCAAATAACAGAGGTAAAAGTAAGTACATCTACCCTGACTGGCTGTTGGCGATCAAAACAAAGTTTACCGAGGAAGGTTTATTGTGACGACGAATTGCTGCTTTGGACGTATAAATGTGGTTCAAACTTCCTAACTGCCAGCTAGGGCTAGCTTTCACAAACTTTAGGATATGCCCCCACCCAAACACGCTTTTGTAGATAGATAAGCCTTTAAAAGATGTTAAATGTCAATAGAGGAGCTGGGTCTTCGTCTGTTCTCACCAATAATGGGTTTTGAAGATTCCATTTGTTTCTGGAGCCATTTAGGAATATGCTGTGAAGCCAGCCAGCCCTTACTTGCAGAGATCGACGAGTCCTCCCTATGCCTGTGTGTGTGTGTGGACACATGGATGTTCGAATTGGTAAATACAGTGTGATGTGACATCATTTTTCGCATGTTCAGAGGCCTTAAATGGATGGATATATTGGCTTCACATTCTCAATTATTATGATATTAGCTGCATAAAAAGTCTTTTTAACCACAACGGTGTTCAATCTTTGTCTAGTTGTCAAGCTGCTATGATCCCCCGCCCATATAGGGTAGCTTGATGTACACGTGTCTTTCTTAGGGGCGAGTTGTAGACAGTGAGTTTGGTGTTCCGCTGATTACTTTATATCTCCTGATGAACTTGTCTAGATAATTGTTATCAACCAGAGCAGAGTTGTGTCTACTTTCTTTCTTCCTCATCATCAAGTGTGCCTGTCTGTCTGTCTTCAGTGTATATTCATTGAATTCTACTGAAGAGGCACCTCACTCACAAAGGAAGGCTCTTTTGTACCGAATATGGCAGGCAGAAACTGTGGTAATTAAGATAGTGTCCTGTCGTGTCCAGGTAGGTTTTCTATAAATAGATCATCGTTTTATTGACCTATCAAGTTGTCGAGTGAGCAATATGTCTAGAGAGGATAAACAGTTGTCTTCCTGAGAAGTCCGTGTGTTTGGTGGATCAGATTGTTCGAAATGTGTGTTCCGCGCAAATATGGACATTACATACACGATTAGGACAGACTGTCTGTCTGTTTTCGACATAGAGCTTTGCACTGATGTACAGCAGTTCAAGTCGCCACACTCTCTCCTCCACGTACCACACAAACCAACACAAGAAAGTAGAAGAAATGCATAATAGAGAGAGACAGTAAACAGAGGTGTGAGACAAAGGAATAGTAATCACGAACGAAGAACGATATAGTTTCATTGGAAATCATAAGTCACAAAGAGTGGATGCATCTTCGCCAGTCAGCCAGCCATTGAGAACGATTACTTTGAATCATATCATCACCGATTGTTTCCAGCCTTCATTGGTTTTTACCGTCATCGCGAGGACCCCAACCAGTTAGGAAGCCAGTCTATAGCTTCCTACGTGGCTGGCTGGCTGGCTTAGGCTAACTGTTGTGGATTTCATTGACTGGTGAAGCCATGTTTTGGTTTGACCGCCGATAGCTAGCTCTTTTCCAGCCTGACGAATCCAATGTCAGCTAACATTTGTCGAGGAAGGCGATGACAAGGCATGCATGCGTACACATGTCCTAACCATCTCAGTCGACGTAATTCAGGCAGACAAGTTACGTCTTCTTATTTCTTGCTTTGTCTAAATTCAAGAGGAACACGAATTGTTTTATAATAACTGTTTTTTCTATGTAAAATGCATATTGTAAACAAACAAATTTGTTATTGTCTTATTATTATTATCATCATCATCAAAATTCTAACCACCGTTTGTTAATTTGTTCATTTCTCTTCCTCCCTTCATCCATCTCTCTTTTTCTAGATGCTGACCATAATTCCTCACCTACTGAAGAAGTTGGCCTGGACTGGTTACTCAGATATCGTCGGTTAACATCAAATCAACAAAATTTGTTTATCGGGGGTACAACATGTACAAATGGTGGTTACACAACATTAAATGATTTCGACTTTCCATCATTATCATCATCATCATCATCTAGTAATCACGGCGCCACAGCATCATCATCATCATTTGAGTCATCCCTTCTTCAATCAGAATCATCTCTGGCCAACACCAACCGTGTATATTATTCCACTTCACCACCTTTTCATCTATCCAATTCATTTGATATTGATCGAAGTGTTGTGCATAATCATTCCAATACTACCGCTAACGGTAGTAATAGTAGTATGCAGTCAAGTGGAACACAGATTGCTGCCATGTTTGCTAAAGTCCGCGAATTATTGGCTAAACGTGATTCAAACGGTCCCCGGCTGTTAAGTCTTATCACAGAAGAGCTGTTGAATTGTTCAAAGTTGCCTGTAAGTAAAGCTGATGATCACTTATTAATTGTTATTATTATTATTATCTCCTTTAATTCCTAGAGGAACATAGGGCTTCTTCAGCCGCCTAAGTCTCTATTGCTTTCGGTTATCCACCAACGTTTTCACCTGGCTGACTCCAAGTCTGCCAACATACTCTCATCTCCTCTTCACATCACCTCCTTCTCCTCCATGTCACCCTCACCCTTGGACGACCAACTCGCCACTTCCCTTTCGGATTCCACTCGAACGATGGCTTGTCTAGTGATGTCACTCCCTTGATGGTTTGTTTCCTCAGAGTATGGCCACAATCCAATCTACCTCCATTTCTTCCTGCTTATTTGTTGCACAATCGGTTCTTGCTGGGTTGGTTCGTTCATTACCAGAGATCCCTCCGTGTTGCTGATCTTTTGTAGCCGGCTGGCCATCTGATTTTGAGTGTTATTGGGCGAAGACAGCTAGCTGTTGGTGAAAGTCTGTAGATTGTTTGAGATGCTTTATATGATGTGCCAAGTCTTGCTTTGATATCCTCGTCAGTTCCACCTGTAGTTGAAACGATGCCTCCCAGGCAGGTGGGTAGGTGAAAGAGGTTGTTTCTTTCAGGTTCCTCCCATTTATGCTGTCTGATTATTGTCTGTTATTGGTGTTGTTGCTGTTGGTGTTGGCCAGGAATCTTCATCACCTCTGCTTCTTCTACCAACTTGTTCCCTTTCACTTGCATATCTTGCAGTTTGTGGGAAATCAGACATATCATCGGAGAAGTCCAGATCCTCCAAGTTTTTGTGTGAATCCATTTTATGCCTGTTTCCTCATAGCCCATTGCCTGTTGCATTATCGAATCTACTGCAATCAAGAAGATCATTGGCGATAGTAGACAGCCTTGTATTACTTCCATCTTCACTTCTCCGAAGGATTTCGTAAGTTTCCCGTTGTGGATTACTTGTCATGCAGCATTGTCCTACAACTAACTGTTAGATGAGATGTATAATTGTCGGTGGCACCCCTTAACAGCGAAATAGTTTCCAAATCACCTCTCGATCGACGCTGTCGAAGGCCTTTTCAAAGTCGATGAAGTTGAGATAGAGAGGTGACTTCCATTCCAAGCTTTGTTCAATGATGATCCGTAGAGTGGCGATTTGATCAATACATGAATTGTTTCTCCTGAATCCAGCTTGTTCCGGTCGAAGTTTTTCATCCGGGGCTTGTTTGATTCTCTCCAGAATGATGCGGCCTAGTATTTTGCTTGGGATGGACAGGAGCATAATTCCACGCCAGTTCTTGCATTGACTTAAGTCTCCTTTCTTTGTCAGTTTGAATAAGTAGCCTTCCTTCTATTCCTCGAGTACCTTGCCCTCTTTCCACACCTTCTCCAGAAATGGCGTCATCAAGTCCGCTGTTGTCTCTGGGTTTATTTTCAAAGCTTCTGCTAGGACTCCATCTGGTCCTGCTGCTTTTCCAGCTGTTAGCATTTTGATTGCCTTCAGGACTACTGATTTCGTCCGGGGGGTTGGGGTGGGTTGATGTTCACTGGTGGTTCTGCTTCCGTTAAACTGATTATAATTTATATAAGATGATAATTCGTCAGCAACCGTGTTATTCGTATGCGATATCTATTCAATTCATGAATGCTGCATACATGTATTCCTCCAGTGAATGATACCTTCTAGACTGTGCATATTCTTTTGTTTCTTACTTAATAAATATTAAATGATTGCTGAGGGAAAATGGTTATCCAGAAAAGTTTATTGATAAGAATATGAAAATCAAGGCACCTCAAGGTACACCAACAGTTCCGAGGCAAAGAAAGGCCTTATTCTTATAAATGCAGTCAGTTCCTTGGGAGGCAACTTCAGCGACATACTTACACACAATGACTTAGAAATGAGGCGGTAAACCGAAGAGCATTCAGTGCTGTTACCGAATTATGCTGTGTCTTCAAAACCACTGCTCCTGTGCAGTGAGCCAGTTACTTGCATCGGCTGTACAATTAATTAGGCGTGTTCCTCGTTGAATTTCCCAACATCACCCTGCACAGTGGTGGTTGGTTAAGTAAGCAAGGACAAACAAAATCTATTCTCAGCGCTATTCTACCTCACTCATCCCCTTATGGATACAGAACACAAGACTAATTGATGTTAACCAGGCGGCTTTCACGGTCATTTACCCTAGACCGACCAACAAATCTCAATTTCGCCTTAAGAGTTTGACTACCAAAAATATTGCTGAGACTGGCTGGCCGCTGGGATCGGAGCAATAGCACTAAATAGCAAAAGAAAGGACCTAAATGGTAAAATAAAACAGACAGAAGAAGAGGCGTTGGTGTTAAATATCTATCCTATAAAATTCATTAGAAAGATCGAAAAAGGTCAAAAGCAAAATAAAAATAATTATGAAACTAATAGTGATAACACAAATAAGAGAGAATATAAGTCGTCTACTGGTATACCACATAAAGTGGGTATATATGAGACACTCCTTACGTAGGATTCTTAATAAAGCATTAATTAGGTTGGTGGTGGCATTTAAACCTACAAACTGACTCACTCAGGTAGGATAAGCTCTGTAGGGTAAAAGACCCGGTGAACCCAATAAAATAAAATAATAAAATCTACAAAGTACCCTGCAATGACTGTGAGTCAGGTAAAGTACATGCGTCAAACTAGTAGATCGAAGGTAATCAGACTGTCGGAACTGATATGTATTGACGTCTGTTGCTTCGTCTGCCTGTTGGGTTTGCGGCTTCGGCTTCGTTCGGAATTGTCGGACATTTTATGTTTCTTGGCTGCATTGCATAGAGAATTTAGTGGGACATCAGCCAGATGCAAACGATCGAACCAATCAAGTCCCAAAAGATTTAAATCACTCTTGGTGACGTAGCAAATTCCTGTGAATTTAATGTTACGGAATGAAACAGAACATTTGAGTTCACCAATTAGTTTGAGCCGCCCACCACAGGCGCTGAGAAAAGTCTGGGAAGTATTTCGATTGGTGGTCTGCCAATATTATTCCAAAGTTTCTCTGATATAACAGTAATATCAGAGGCGGTATCTAGCTGCAGACGTGCATCATGACCATTCATCTGAAGGTCAAGATATTTCCGCATACCTGGTGTTGTGACTTGACAGGTTGCGACTAGACTCAATGATCTTTTTGGAGATTTAGGACCAACAGTTTGTCGAGCTTTCGCTGGATTTTGATGTCTGGGTTTGCGTGGCTGACAAAAACCATTTTTATGACCGATGATTTTGCACTTGCTGCAACGATGATTTTTGTACGGACAAGACTTTACAAAGTGCCACGCGCCACAATGCCAGCATGGTGATGGTGGGGTCTTCTTTGCAGTATTTTGTGAAGTTGGACGAGTATGTGTAGATTTACGCGGAACATTAGAAGAAGTAGGTGGGTCAGGAGTAGATGATGAGAGATTTTTGCTCTTTCGTAATGCATGAATATCAGAGCTTCTCGAAGTTGTTGATTCGACCAGGTGTGTGTCTTTCTGCAGATTAATCAGCCGTTGATATTCATCAGCTATGTCATGTAATGTTAACTTGGGATTTTGTTCTAGCTGATTGAGCAGTCGAGTTCGGATATCTGTGAAACGAGGAGATTGAAGACTGCATATGAGAATCAAGGCTTTGAATTGATCATCTGTTAAGGACCTGAGTCGAAATCTCTCACATTCTCGGTTGACTGTGCCAACGTGAGTAAGAAAATCATCATTTTCATTCATTGTCAGCTTGAGGCAACGATAACGTATGCTGAATAATGAGGAGTGGTCTCCAAAATGTTCACGCAGCAGCTTTATTGTATCATCGAAACACTTGTCACGTGGTTTCTGGGGTAAAATTAGGTTGCAGTACCGTTCATATTCTGCCGGACCCAATTTACGTAACAACACTCGCACCTTCCAAGCATCGTCTTGTGAGGCGAGATCAACAGTGAATAAATCCTCATAACGTTGATACCATGTGTCAAAAGTGACATTAGCCTCTGGATTATAATTGAACTGTGAAATACTATTCACAATTCCGTCGACAGATGGTAGCATGGTATGATTCGGATTGCTTGAAGGTGAAGCTGGACCAGTCTGTTGGTTGACGAACATTTCCATTAATTTCATTTGTTGTTCAAACAATAATTCCAATTTAGAAGGATCCATAGTTTTCCCTGTCGCCAAATAATTATTATGTACTGTTCGAGAAATTAATAGTCCTGACGCAAGAAGGCGGAAATCAGAAGACCACTAGGTTTGCGATGATACTTCTATTTTCCAAACACAAGGAGAATCAATGTCACACAAGTGTGTGAGAGCAAAATATATATGAATGTCCGAACAAGTGTGTGAGCGAATATTCAAAATGAACAAATAAATAGACAGTCTTAACATGATTGGCTAATTATAATGGAATATTGATCCATGTATACATAGTGAAATATCAAAAATCTCAAAAAAATGATATGTATCCATATAATATGTGTGTTTGTTTGACAGCCTGTTATGTTTTGCTAGGTATATATGGATCGGTATTCCATTATAATCTGCCAATCATGTTAAGACTGTCTATTTATTTGTTCATATTGAATATTCGCTCACACACTTGTTCGGACATTCATATATATTTTGCTCTCACACACTTGTGCGACATTGATTCTCCGTGTGTTTTGGAAAATAGAAGTATCATCGCAAACCTAGTGGTCTTCTGATTTGCGTCTTTCTTGCGTCAGGACTATTAAATTCTCGACCAGTACATAACAATAATTTGGTGACGAGTACGTTATAGGAACATGAGAATTTAGCTAAGACGGGAGGGGGTTAATATTCTAAGGAGTAATCTAGGTAGGTGGAGAGAGAGGTTGACTACTGAATCCTGCCTGGTTCATCGAGTTTGCACCCAACACAACACATGCAACAGAAGTGACTCAATGCAAAACCAGAAATATGCATGGAAGATATTATTACCACCAGTCAGTCAGTCAGTGAAATCAGAGGAGGATAATTAATAATCTTAACTTGTATTCTATTTCAATTCAATTCACGTACATCATCACAACATTCTAACAAGTTACTCACTTATTTTGACTATAAAAGAAACACTCGTCTTATTTCCCATCTGATTATTGTAATTGATCACTCATAACACTCATATTATTATTATCATTATTTCTGAATGTACATTATCCTATATTACTGATTTGTATTCAAATATCTAATCATCAATTCCACACATGAATGCAGGAAAAAGTTGTTTGAATGAGTGAGTAACTTGATATGATTATGAGCGGCAATAATAATAAATTGTGCTCGAAATGGCGTGTGGTTGCATCAGTTAATATTACTGTATAATACCACTACACTGTGTGACAGTTTATCAAAATCAAATCTTATCTGGTTATAATAGAGTTATACTCTACCGCCAAAGTGAGTGCCCAAGTTTTATACTCATATGAATAATGCGTATATAACTCGTGGTAATCACTTCAAAAACACTTTTGAAATATATGTGAATATTTCATGTACAACGCCTAATTTATTTAATTTTTCAAACATACAATTTTTGTTTTATCGTGTTGCATTGCTGGTTTTTTCTTTTCTTTTTCAATTCCTCTTCTGTATCAGCCTTTAAAATCAAGACGAAATATCCGGAATTCGACAATCAACGTCCCGAATAGATCACAAACAATTCCTGTAATCCGTTCACCCCATAGTCAACTGACATCTGAGCGTAATTACTCCAGTGAAAACCTATCTTCATCATCGTCATCGAATCATACTTCGTCTCATTTGTTGTTTAGTCAGCCTCCACCATGGACTACTAGACTCTGGGAAGAAGTCTGTCTGCTATGGACACTTGTAATCCTAAGCCCTGATTGTAATGCTGAGGCGAAAAAACAATGGCGTTATCGACTTCAAAATTGGGCGCGAGCTAGTCGAAGTCCATGTGACGACTGTTATTTACTTCCTAATCATTTTTTCTCGTCTCTTCATGAATTCTCGGATGTCGATGACGATGGTCTTGGTCAAAATCAACAACAATCTGGTCAACAGCAGCCAACACGTTCCTACCGTCGTACTTCTGTATTCCGCTTGCCCATAGAAGTCAGTTACATGTCATGGGATGATGTCTGGTTAACGCATTTATTGTCTTTTAATAATATGAAATCGGATAAAAATAATGAAGAACTCAGTGAAGATAATATGACCACCATCACTAGCAATCGTCAAAATCATCATTCAACAAATATTTCTTTTCCTTTGGATGATAGCAACAGTGACTGTGATAATAGAATATTTAGACGACCGTCTTCAGTAGTAATGACACCAAGACGAGCAAATGCGCATCATAATCGTTTATTTCAGACTAATTCGCCTGTAGGAGGAGGAGGCGGCGGCGAATGTCATTGCCCGTATTGTGATCTTTCAACCTCTCTGACTGAACCATTCCCCCTGCTGTGTTTACGTGTTGCTGCTCTACGTAGTAATGGTTATTTAAGTCAAGCTTTACAACTTGCTGTATTCATTAGTCAACGTTTATTACGATCGGTGAAGGCGAAAACTGCACTAGCCGCCTCGACATTAATCAATATGGTGGGTATGCGTAGTCCACCGCAAACATTTTCTCCACACATGTCTTGGAATAATAATAACAATAATAGTAATAATTATTATTATCCAAATGATACATTAAATGCGCGTCGGACACTGTTTAATACACCGCCGCCTAATGGACAAGGAATTCGACTTTGCACTGGTGGTAGTTTGAATTCACACAATGGAATGCATTCGAATTCACGTTATATATCCTCAGGTAAGTCTTTAATTAATGCAACAAACTGAGATTACTATGGATTTGTAGTTTGTAAACATGTTCTCGTCAATATTTTTTTTTAAAATTTTTGGTTTCAGCTTGATTCCACACCGTATATTTTTTGGTACAGGTATGGAATTTTCAGCATGTGATATCATCGGTAGCCCAAATTTTTCAGGCCGACCATAGATATCAATCAGATGTGCGTCGGCAGGAGTTCGAACCTCGGACCATGTGTGTATGGTCGGCGACAGGCCTAACCACTGTGCTACCGACGCACAGTGTGTTGGTTTATATTGGTTTGGCTGATTGGTTATAGGGTTTCATCATGAGCTGACATTGGCTTGAAAATCATTGGAAAACCTGGGAGTACTGCCAGGCAGCTGTTTCGTCAGCCTAGTTTGGGACTGGCTATTCAGCGGTACGCACCCACCGCCAATGTTCGAACCCGTGACCTTCTAGTCACAAGGCCAGCGAGCTAGGTCGTAGACCATTGAGACACTGCGACCCGATCCATTGGCCGGCCAGTCCATGAATTCTAACGTCTGCCAATTCACAACATATCCCTCATGATGAAATCCTGTAACCAATCAACCAAATCCCTACAAACCAGTACTTGAATGTCGATGAGATGCTTGCTAACGACTAGCCCTATTCAGGAATGCTTTTAGTGAGAAGTCGTGACCAGTAGGGTGCAGGAGGTCGGGTGTGAGGACAAATACTCGCCGGCGATGACATTGGCTAATGGTGGCGCTATGTCGTGAATTAGCAGAAGTTAGAATTCATGCACTGGCTGACCATTGGATTGGGTCCCAGTGGCTGAATATTCTACGGGCTAGCTCGCTAGTCTTGTAACCAGAAAGTACTGGGTTCAAACATTGGCGGTGGGTGCGTACTGATGAAGAGCCTCAAACTAGGGTGGCGAAACAGCTGGCTGTCCAGTACTCCCAGTGCTGGTTTTTCAATGGTTCTCTAACCAATGTCAGCTCATGATGAAAATTGTGTTACTCCTATAAGTTTGTAAGTAATGCATTCAGTATTGAGAGAGAGAGAGAGAGAAAGAGCTGTAGCCGACTGTAACTCTTATATTATTATTGTTATGTTCACAACAGATGTTCGTTGTTCGAACTTCAGTTTTTTTCTTTCTTAAATTGCGTAAGGCAGAGGGTAAATTACCGCATTATTTTCTTGTCAAATGAATGTGTATAAAGAGGGAAAAATGAAAATCGATAAATAGAAACCAATTTGGACTGCAACCAAAAAACTGAAAATTTCTGTTCTCCATTAACTTTTTTTCAACTTAGTCACAGTGTTATTTGACTATTTATTATTCATTATCAATACAACCGGGTCCTAATTCTATCTCACCTGGGCGAATGGGTAGTCGTCTCATCAAATGACCTCTTAACTATATTCATCCTTTGTGGGCCCGTGGCATGATTGCCTTCGCATTCGACATCCTACTGTAACGTAGAAAACCAGATACACTTGGTAAAGGGATGTTTATTAGCATTTTGATATCTCTGTGTAGCGAAATTATGTACACCTTATCTTCAACGATGCACCATTTTTTGCACAAATTCTCCCGTGTTCGGCTACTTTTGGACTTCCTATTTGTTGTTTCTTTGTGTTCGTTTCATATCTCCCATGTATTATCTTACTTACTTTACTTTACTTCGGCTATCTCCTACGGGAGGATGAACCGGCTTCATGAACATCTCGAATGTTTGTAAGAGAGTTGATGAAGTTTCATGGGAATTGGGTACGAGTGATGTCCCCAGCATCGCTCGGTATTATCTCCACAACACAAGTCTGTATCATTCAGTTGCTGCTTTCTGTGATGTCAAATCTATCTATCTCCCTACCATATGGTATTTTAATGCCGACGAACGTCTCTTTATTTACTCTACTGGTGAGTCTTATTAGTAGCAGACACCATACTACCCGCTGGGTTGGGGATTTGTGAGACTCTACACCCCCAGGTCAGGTATTTCTGTCAGCATATATGTAACAAAGAGTTAAGAGGTGGGTGAGAAAATAGACTTGACTACTAAGGTTAAGTTAAAAGGAGGACGTATTGAAAGTCAAAATCAAAAGTCCAAAGCGTCGGTTTATCCTTCACACATCCATTGATCATTTATCATCGGCTGTGGAAATTGATACGTAGCTCAGCTATAAAAGAAGGCTTTCGTCAGTGATCTGCATAAGCAGCGATTCTTCTGGATGTCAGCTGTATCACCTTTAAATTCAACACTCATAAATAGCAGTTTCTTCTCGACATTGTCTGGATTCTTTCAGGCTTTTCCCTCAACTTCATGTTTTTCTCGATGAAACTATTTCTCGTGTGCGTCGTCAGATTAGATTTATACGGCTCAACAGCGGCTGTCGAGATATGTGGAGCCGGATGTACAGCGACCTCCAGTTTCGCCTTGTTCCTGAAATCCACCGACAGTCGCTCCTTCAGTAACGAGGTGGAACCCAAACCAGTAAACTGGTATACCACCTGCAAATATCAGGAAACCCTGGAGACTCGTATATCTCTCTGAAAGCTTCCGTATCCTATCGAATATCTCGTCCACCAACTCCTTACCCACGGTGTAGTGACCATGTGCGTAGTTATTTGCCGCGTCCTCCTTACCACTACTCTGAGTGGAACAACTACCTGTACTTGCCATGGTGTGAGCCGTTAAGCCCTGTCGGCTCAAAGTCCACAAACAGCACGTGGGACATATTGACCACAACCCGTCTCACTGAGGTATGTGCTGAACGCGTCATTCTCACTGCCAATCGACTCACTCGAGATTCGCACATTTGGTGCAATCAGTCTCGTACTCAAGGTAGTACTACTGTCAACACGACTCGCCTATCATCTGCACACCAGCTTGACCAGCATGAAAATTGATACATTCATGCATAATGTTCGCTGACAACCGCCTACGACAAGTACAGTCCAGTCACGCCACGTCAATATATATATATATATATATATATATATATATATATATAAAGCATGTGTTAGCGTCGGTGGTTAGGACTCGCCGACCACGCACATGGTCCCAGATTCGATACCCTGCCGACGCACACCTGATTGATATCTATGGTCGGCCTGAAAAATTTGGACTACCGATGATATCACATGCTGAAAATTCCATACCTGTTATTATTATTATTGTTCCCTTGGGTTCCTAGTAGAACATAGGGCTTCAACTGCACGTCTCCACTTGCTTCTGTCTTCTGCTTTACTTACTTTTCACCTGCATTCATGTTAGTCCATACTCCTCTTTCAACTCTTCACATGATCTCCTCCATGTCACCCTTGCACTGACAACCCACTTGCCGCTTTCTTTTCGGGTTCCACTCTAGCAATGGCCTGACGCTCGCGCGATGTCACCCAACGAGTGTCCAATCCATCTCCATCACTTTCTCCTGCATATTTGTTGTTGTTGGGCGATTGGTTCTTGCTTTTTTGTTTGTTCCCATAGTTTCTTGTTGTTGGTGATTCTTTCCGGCCCTGCCCGGCCCGGCCATCTGATCTTCAGTATAGAGCGAGGAGAGTTAGTTATTGATAAAGGTAACGTCTGCAACAGGCTGTTTTTTGGAAATATTCTTTGTGACCCACCCACCAAGTTTCTAATCCGTATAGAAGAACTGACTGACTTGACGTTGTTTGTATTGAAAATCCGACCGAATTTTGTTGTTGATGTGACGTTGAGTGACGAAGATTTCCGGATTGGTTTCAGGTTGATGAGTGAATGAGTTTCTCGCCTTCCCGATTCTCGCTCGATTTGACGTCGTCGTCCGTTCTGACTTCCTGTGGTTGAGACAATGTTCCCTCGCTAAATAAGTGAATGATGAAGTAAGCTCTTTCAAATCCCTTCCGTTGATGGTGATTGGCGCTGGATGTTGCTGTTGTTGTTGTTGTTGGTTGGTTGGTTGGTTATTTGCACAATCTCCCTCTTGTCTATGTTCATTAGGAGTCCTGTGTTCACTGTCTGCTTCTTCGACCAGTTTGTCGGTTTTCGCTTCTAAGTCTTCGATTTTGTGTGACATCGAACATAAATCATCGCCGCGCTAAATCCACGGGTCTTCTAGGTTTTTCACCTCGGTACCAGTCCAGGATATCCCTGTCTTCTCGTTTCCCTGTCACTGTCTGACGCATAATTCAGTCCACCACTATATTCCTAGTTGTGGTTCCACCAGTTCAATACATGTACCAAAAAAAAATACGGTGTGGAATCAAGCTGTAATCAAAAGTTTAAAAAAATGTTTGGCCAAAAAAACTTTATATTCTTGTCATTCCAACTGTAAATTATTTATTTATTTTGTTTTAATTGTCTAGCCAATATGATGCCGTCATCTCCTTCGATTATTTCAAATCATGGCAAGTACTCTCCTTCAAATCGTCTTACCTCTCCTCGTCCAGCATCCCTATCGCCTCCAGTTAATAATGTGAGCCATCATCATACACGTTCAATTCCTCCGCCTCCTCCACCTAGGCGTCTTGGTCTTTCACCGAATTCAAATCACAGTCCTGGTCCATCGTGTGCCAATCACCAATCTATTAATAATAATAATATTGGCAATAGCAATAATAATAACTCTTGGTCGAGTCAGTCGCCTTATTTGTTTAAATCCCCTCCTAGTACATCTCAGCAATACTTAAATCACTGTTCCCCGTCCTCATCCTCATCATCAATATCTCCAGTTCCATTTCATAATTCGTTGAATACAAATCACGTCTATCTCAAACCGCAGCAGCATATGCCTTATTCAAATTCCCCTTACTCATCTGCTTGTTCATTACATACGCATAACTCAAACTGTGGCGGTAGCACCATCAACGGGAATAGCACAGCAATGATGCATCCTGTTCACTATAATAATCGTGCATTATTAACTTCTCCTACGCCTGGGGGGAATAGATCTCTCTCCGCAAGACCATTACCGTCTCCTGGTAGTGGTGGTGGTGATTCCTTTCCAGGTGTTGGGGGTGAGACTGATATGATGAATTGTGGCCTGATTTCTCCAAATTGTCCTTGTCATACGGCTGATATCGGTTGGATTGGTCTACCAGGTCGACCGGTGATTTGTTTAGTGGAATGTTTGCTGGATGCAGCTGCTATTGTCGTTGAAGCGGCGAATCATCATCACCAGGCGCCTCCTATCATCGCTTTACCAGCCTGGGGTCATATGGAGAAGGCATCATTCTACTTGTGTCTGGCAGTGAAAGTAAGTTATACTCTATCATAGTTATTTGTCTTCTTTTCTTAATTTTTATTCTAGACGTGGACACTGACAAAACCAAGCTGCAATCTATGAATGCTTGCCATGCGATTCACTCGTGCTGCTGTCAAATGTAAGATGATGTTACACGACTGGAGTGGACTACACTGACTCACTCCTAGTTTAGAAGAATAGGGAGTGAAGTGGTTAGTGGCGGAGCGTGTTGACCGCTTCACTTATTTGGGAAGTACTATCAGCCAGTGCCATCGGCGAACGTGTTGATCTCTGGCGAAATCTCAGCTGAGTGAGTACGGATACAGAGGGCTAGTTTTGCACATATACCCGCCAGTTCACGCCGTCTCTGGCTTACTAGAAGTGATATCCGACTGACTGGCTGGCTGTGAGACCTGGCCATTGAGAGTGGGAGACATAAAAAGTCTGGCTAGCTGTCTTCGATCATAGATGCCTGCGTTCTATCTCCCGGGTGAAGTGGTATAATATGGTGAGTAATATGGAGGTTTGGCGTTGGTCGAGTGCTAGGTAAGGAGGAGGCTGTGAAATCACTTCGACTGAGATGGTTGGGACATGTTTTACGAATGAATGCCTAGTCATCGCCTAAAACCACTTTATTACCTGCATATTCAAAGTGAACGAGATTATTCCCTGGTGGCAAGTCAATCCCTGAGTCTACATTTATGATGAAATTAAGTAGAAATGGGGATAGTGGGCATCCCTAACGGACACCACTAGTTGTCACCACTTCGGATGACAACTTTCCGTAAGCCCTCACCTAGCTGACTGGATGAGTTCGAGTAGAGTGAGTGACTTGATCAGTGCAATTTTTTTTCTTGACATTCCCTTTTTTACAGCCGAGCGTCGCCAGAGAACTTCTCGGTCAACAGAAATGTCACAAAACGTGTGTTTAAGTGGAATATATAAAATACGTTTGACTATTGTTTCCTCATCAATACACTTATTAGGAATTTTTCTTTGTCTTTGTGTGTAATTTGTACAGATCTACAATAGGTGGTAGATTATAATTTTCTGAATGATTATAATAATAAGTAATTCATGGTGATCATTGTGTCTTTTGTGTGTTCACTTGTGTTTGTGTCACTATTTTCTCTCTTACATCGATGCTTCCTTCCTTCTTTTCAGGTCAGTTTATTAGCCCTATTTCAACAAAGACCTCCAGTTGGTTCAGTGAGTCGATTGTTGGCATGTCAACATCAAGAGGCACGTCTGTTAACCCTGTTAAATACAATCCCTAAAGATGTGACAATCGCCTTAGCAATGTGTGATACTCTGTGTCAATTGTTAGGTCCACCAATATCATCATCACGTTGTCTAGGCAGACTGGATCATTCTCCAGTGGTGCGTTTATGGTGGTGGTCTGCACTTGGTTTTCTTGTCCATCCAGACACTTATCCAGTTCATGCTGTCGCTGAATTTGTCTTAAACTACCTTCTGGATACCCAGAGATTGAATCAATTGTCATCATTTACAACATGTTGGTCAGGTTATGCTAACGGAAGCAATAATAATAATCACATGTCATCGGTACGCATTGATGATATGGTATTCACACTAGTTATACGAGCTATGCGGTAAGTGACTTTTACTTACTTTTATCATATCATATCTGTGAGAGGAAGAAAACCCAGTTCATTATAATTGATTTTATGATTCATTGTTGGTTTCATTATGTTGTTGGCGCTATCAACGACTAGTGGCTGAATGGTATACGAGCCAGCTAGCTTGCTGGTCTTGTAACCGAAAGGTCCTGGGTTCGAAACCCGGTGAAGTGATGGGTGCGTACTGACGATGATTCACAAACTAGGCTGTTGAAACAGCTGGCTATCCAGTACTCCATGTGGCTGGTTTTCAATGGTTCCCTAACTGATATCGATCCGTGATCAACTCGTAAAAATATATATGATGAACTGTTTTTTTGTTTCATTTATATAATTAATTTGCACTCCTTTTGTGTGTGTGTGGCATTCGGCTACTTATATATGTCGTCTTTGCTGCAGACGGTGTAGACATCTGACTATTGGTCAATAGGCGTATTTATTGAGCAACAGTCAGGTTTCGAAGTGTGGCCACCATTCCACTAGGTAGCTCGCCACGGTGCACACATTAATTTGATGATATTAGATAGTTGTTGGAGGCAATCGGTCAGAGGAAGCCTTGCAAGGACCTAGGTTTCGTGGTAGTTGGCATTCACTGCTCAGTCAGCAAAGCGTATCTGCAACCACATTGAAGGAACTCATGTCCCTTCTGAGGAGATTCGGACCCGCGTCACCCAGTGAAAACTGCAGTCAGAGACGTTATTTTTATTATTATTCATTACTCTGAAATTGGTCTAGAAATCTGCTGCACTCGGTACAACGAAGAAGGATCGAATTTTCAACACATTAAGGTCAAGTCAGTTTTTCTGTGGTTAAGGCCTTGGAGCACGAGACATGCAAAAGCATTTCCAACAGACCAGCCACACTGCTATCGCGACCTCTCTGACCATTGTGTCACTTCGGTTTATCGAGATCTAAGCAACCAGATAGTATTACGAGAATGGTAAATAAAAAATTAAGCGCAGCCCTGTCTAGGACGTATCTTGCAGCATTCAAACTTACTATCCACTTTAACCTGGGAAACTTAGTGTATCCATAGGACTTCATACTTTACATTATATAGTGCATGAGAAAATGTTTGTAGATCGGACGACAGATACAATGAATTTCCATCATCATCATCATCCCTTATTATGACGACTTCTGTGTGTTCTCATGACTTATGTGTTTAAATTGAGGCGGAAAAAAAAGAAGAACAAATACAAAAGTCGAATGAAGTTGGGAATTATGACATTAAACTCTTGACAGTCCAATTTTTTAAATGTCTGTTTCCACATAGAGAAGTTTTAAAGCATTTAATTTTGAATGAAACTTTTCCAGATTCAAATTATTACACTGACTTCATACACACAAAAAGTGTAGAACTTCTGATAGAATTGTACCGGTTTCAACTGGCTACTTGTCTTTGCGAAAAGAAAAAAAAGGGAAATAAACCGGAAGTAAAAGTGTAAACTGACTTCTGGTATTTCGTATTCGTATTGTATCGCTGAGCAGCAGTGTTGTTGTTTATATGGATGAATACTAAGTCAATAATATCATCAAATCAATGTGTGTACCCTGGTGGTGAGCTAGCCAACTAGTGGCATGGGTGGCCACATTGCAAACCTACTTGTCTGACTGATAGAATTCAGTCTACACCAAAGAATGGACTAGACACATCACACTAGTTACTGACTAGTGTCACATCAAAATAAGTCAATGTGGAGATTTACAAACTGATGCATGCATCATCCCAGGTGTCACATTCATAACATTGGGTAGACGTGAGTGTGATTGGCTACATACATCTGTGAATGATTTCTTTGATCGTTTTATGTAGATGTGTCAGCATTTTCACTCTTTTAGGTGTAATCACCAGCGACCATTGATTTTCCACAGATGGCCGGCATCAGAATAAGTTTATCTGTGTAACTCACACGGTTAGGTTAGAGTGTAAAGTAAGGTGAGCGAAGTGCCTGGCGATGATGGTTAGCACTGTTTAATGAAGCGTTTTTTGTTCCCAGCTGTAGGCATAAGCTTTTTGGTATATGCGTTCAGAAAATCGTGGATATACCCTTCTTATTTCTGTCTTTCCAATGTGACTGCTCCCACAGATACAGATTTCTTTTTTTTGTCATTAAGTTTAACACTAGTCAGCTTATTTGCTTTATGATTACTACTTACAATTGCCTTCTTGTATTGGATTTTCCATTTTTTTTTTTACTTTTTTTCTGTTAGGTTTTCCATCCCTGAAAATTATATGATGGATACCTCTGCAACTGGACCAGGTTTGATGCGGAGTAACAGTTCCCCACAGTTATCAATGGGAGGTGGTAGTAGTGGCGGTGGCGTTAGTCAACGTACGCATTATAATTATCGTGGTTGGGGGGATCACTTCAATAATGGTAATAATAATAATCATCTCAGTGGTTCTAGCAGTGGTGGTCATATTATTCCTGCTGGTGTTAGAAGTGGTTTAGAAACGGCACTGGCTGTAAATACTGATCAAGTCAGTGATCAGGAGTTCACCAGCATGACTACTCCCTCGATGATAACATCTACAGCTGGTGGGGATCCTGGCAATTTTGATCATCATCAAAGGTATTCATATCTACCAACTAACAACAACAACAACAATGCGAATCCTCTGTTTCATTGGGAACACCAACACCACCAACAATCATCTGCTCCTGAGGGGGGTGGTGATCGCTTTCTTATGACTACACCTAAAATCTCTTCCCCGCCTTTACCATCTGCTTTCGCCATTTCTACACAAAATTTTCTTAAATCTGTCAATGGAACTGTAAACATGAATTCTCCGACGAGTAGTAGTAGTAGTAGAAATCTTTGTGATCATCAGGCTTATGTCGATAATTGTCGTTGGTCAGTACCACCGGTAATAATGCCTTCAATCGATGATCATGGTGGTGGAGAGGTGGTAACACCTTTTTCTGGGCTGGCACCACTATTTACTATCATGAGAAATAATATTCGAATACGTAGAAATCGATTTTCATCAACAATCCTAGATGACAATCATCAAACATTTAATAGCACTGGGAGTGGTAATGGTATTGTACCGCAAAATCAAAATCTGCAATGTCGTCGATGTTTAGATACATTGAAAATTCGTCAGAGTCGATTGGCTGTCGCGTTAATTCGTGTCTCTAAATCACTTATTCATCGATTAGATCAAATTGTACAGATCTGTGATCAAAATATTGATTCACCAGTGACGCTGTTGGTTATATCTCAACAGGTAATAATTTTTATTTATGGTGTTGATATTATTCTTATTATTACCAGTCGATATTTGTTTATTTTTCACATTACATTTTGTTGTGTTTACCTAATATGAACCCCGATGTGGCGGAGGAGATTTTTAGCTCAGGTGGATGGATGATTTTGATGTGGTTGTGTTTTCTGAGCAGCTGGATGGTTAATTTGCACTCACTCTTGCGGGTGAACCGCTTGTAGTTGTTGATAAGTTTGTGTATCTGGGTAGTTGTGTGAGTGCTGCTGGCATTGACGGGTGAGATTTCTAACCGTTTAATGAAGGCTAGGGTGGCATACATCAACTTCAGCCATCTCTGGCACCGTCGTGACGTTACTCAAAGGTTGGGTATACAATGCTTCAGTCCCTGCTGTTTTCCTCTAAGCCTGCGAAACCTGGCCTCTCCGAGTGGACTGAGGACGTGCGGCTGCTCTGTGTGTCCGATCATCGCTGTCCCCACAGGATTGCTTGCGTTCGAGGAATGGCATCTTCGCGTGAGTAATTCTGAGGTTCGGTGGAGTGTGTTTAAACACAATGAAGATCACCATTCATTGAGTGTTATCGTCATCTGGAAACACCGGCTCCGGTGGCTTGGACATGTGAGCTGCGAATGTCATCCCAGAGGCATCCTTACAGGTCTCTGTTCATTAGCCAGTCCTGGAACGGGGTGAAAAAGGCAGAGGGGTGGTCAGTCCATGGCGTCGTGACGTCGTGGGATGAAGGATGTTTGTGCTAGATTAGCATCGGTTGTTGCATCGTCACGACTCCCTGGTTGGACTCCGAGAGCGAAAGCTCGAATCGATGACTCGAAACGTTATCGGATATGGCCAAGAATCACAGTCATCAATGGCGAACGTGCTGCAATTTCCTTCTTTCTTCGCTTGGTTAAATAGTATGACTGTTTTCCTCTCAGACGAAGTTCGTTATCCGTTCTCTACTTATATTTCTTATGCTTTTGATCTATGTTGTTTTATTATTATTGTGTGGCGCATCCTTCTTGGTGCCATACTGTACCAAGTTTTTTCTGCGTTTAAATAAAATAAAATAATTTGCGAATCTTTCATCTCCGTAATAGGCAAGCAACATCTTCCTTCATCGCGCATAAACTTCAATTGCATTCACTTAATCAATCAGACAGTCAGTGAATTGTTTTAACGTGGAGATTGTGCTTTTATTGTATAGACGAAAATCCACTATGAAAGACAAATTAAATCCCATTAAATCCAATTCATAAACTTACTCTTGAACATGTTTTCAATATGTTTTATGTATACACATATATCACAAGTTTACGTGTTTTTAGAAAAATCATAAGTGAATAATAAACCAACCGTAGAATCCAGCCTTGAGAAATTAAAATAAAAACCCGATAAAGAGTTATCAATATAGCAAAAATATTCCTTCAGACATCTATAAAACATTAAAATAATTGAGCCAAGCAGAAGAATATCCCCTTTTCGATAAATTCCTCCTCCTCCTCCTCCTCTTCTTGCCCTACAACTATATCTATATATGCATATGTTTATATATACATAGAATATTCTAGATTCGTAGTAGTCAATAACAATATTAGTGTGCTTTTTAAATTATAACATCGATTTGTAAAGTAAGATCACAATGGAATCACCACCACAGTTCATTAAAGATGCTTAAATTAGAATAATAATAATAATAAAGATATAGTAGAGAATAGAATGTCAGCTAAAATTATGGAAATTCCACAAAAATTCACTTCAGGATTATTCAAACCTAGATGGATGGCCAAGCGGGTAAGGATAATTCATGTCTGAACCAACCAACTTGTTTTGGATGCACAAATTAGGCTTGTTAATATGGATCCCAACGGCCAGTCAGCCAGCCAACCTCTGGAATATTTGGTAGTCGAACTGCCCTTAAGGCGAAATTGAGATTTGTTGGTTGGTATGCGGTAGGTAAATGAGCCTGAAAGCCGCCGCCTTGTTAACATCAATCAGTCTTGTGTTCTGTTTTATCCACAAGATGAGTGAGATAGAATGGAGCCAGTCAGTTACGTAGGAAGGTGTAGACTGGCTTGCTGACTGGTTGTGGTCCTCGGGATGACGGTATAAACCAATGAAGGCTGGAAACAACGGGTGATATGGCTCAAAATCGTTCTCAATGGCTGGCTGACTGGCGAAGATGCATCGACTCTTTGTGACTTATGATTTCCAATGAAACTATATCGTTCTTCGTTCGTTTTTACTATTCCTTTGTGTCACACCTCTGTTTACTGTCTCTCTCTATTATGCATTTCTTCTACTTTCTTGTGTTGGTTTGTGTGGTACGTGGAGGAGAGAGTGTGGCGACCTGAACTGGTGGACATCGGTGGAAAGTTGTATGTCGCAAACAGACAGGCAGACAGATACAGTTTTCTTGTGTAACAGGAATTTATTTATGAACCTGCATACACACTAGATTCACCAAAGTTACTGTGTTAAATTAGCGCTGATTCAGTATAATTTCATCCCAGTTAGAAGGAGCTTATTTTGTTTTTCTTGTCTTTGCAATACTATCTACTTTATATTTGCTGTTTTTTTCTTTGTCGTGTTTAGGTTTTTGCAGAAGCATTTGGTTGGAAGTTGACAGCAACATCATTAGACCGTAGTAAAGCACCTGCTAACGACAATACCTTGCATGATATTTCTCCCTATTATTCTGGATGTCCTTGTAGTCATACTACACCCACCCATCATCCCAATCTAATTCCACCACCGAATTTAGCAACTCATTCATTGGAAGAAGTGTCCTACATCACTCGTGATCGAATTCACCTGTTGTGTACAGCGTTCCATTTGACACTGTTGGCGATGATTCGTACACTTAGTAGTAGCAGTCGATCATGTCATTGGCGTCGGCAGGAGATGTTAAAATGGGCAGTCGCTATCGCCCTGCATGTTGGCCCATTTGCCTGCCTCTATCTAATCAACCATTGGTCGTCATATGTGAATGCTAAAGAGGCGGTTATTTGGTTGGCTCCAGCTATCCTGACTGCTATGGGGAATTTAAATTCACTGCCGGCAACAACACCATCTACCAAGGTATTAAAAGTCAATCTGAACGAACGAAGAATATTCCTTTCAATACATCTTTCTCCTATTCATGTTCTTACAATTATAAAATATAGTATAATATTTCTTGTCGTTACAATAATGATAGTCAGTTTGTCATATGTCGGATACATTTTTTTCTTAACGTAGAATAACAGACTAGCAGTTATGGCGAGTCAAAATAAATAGTCGTATTTGAGTGTTACAAACATCGTGCTAGTAGGCTGAAATCGATTTTATGCATGAAGAAGAGCTAAGGTTAGGTAAGACATCTTTGAGTTGCTGGGTGTACATTGGACGGCTACTGAAGGATAGACACAGATGTGAAGAGTAGAAAGGTTTTTTGATCACCCTGGTTAAACGTTGTGATAGAATCTCCGCAGAAGTATCTCCCTTGAATTGGAGACGTAAAACAGAGGCTTTTTCTCCACCGTTGCCAGTTCATGTTTACGACTATTGTAACCAATGTTTGCTTTAATGATGAACTTCTCTGGATACCCGTTCTCGCTTATACTGTCTCGGATGACCTGGACTTCTTTTTCTGCGCAGTCTTCGAAACAAATGGACCTCGCTGTAAAATTCTAAGCACCTGATCAGATTACGTTTATATTTTATCGGTACGAAGCTAAGGAAGTGTGGATATACTGAGCTTTGGTCTCTAGCTTTCTAAATATGGTTCTTTTGATGGAACCTTCCTCTCTTCTCGTTAGTAGTAGGACGTCGAGGAAGTGTAGAGAGTCGTTGTATTCTCCTTGGTAGGTGAAATGGACCACTGGGTGAGCATTATTGAAGTTGTTCAAAATCAAATCACTACTTAACCCTTCACCGTACACACCACAAAAAAGTGTCATCCATGTAACGACAATACATTTCCATTTTTGCTATTTCCTCTTTCTAAGGTATTGGCTGGTCAGTCAAATCCTTCTACTGCTATTCTAGAGGATGATATCTGTTTCGATCATTCGCTATTCTGTGGTTGTTCAAATTGTCATGGACCGTCGAATAATGACCCTCATATGGCTTCTTCGCTTTCACTTGGCGATAGAAACTGTCCCATGTGGTCATCCATGTGGCATACATTTTGTCCAACGCCATTCACAACGATAAGAAATCATACAATATCAATTTCTACGGCGGCTCAATTACTTGGCACAACTGTCGCGTATTCTAAGACTTCACGTGAACAAATAACCCATGCTGTGCGCCATATGGCTATCCAGGTGAGTAAATTCTCTAAGGTTGATTGGCGTCAACATTTTCTTTTTTTGAGTTTAAGATTTGTTAGTTCCATATTACTGGATGACAAAGTTTCGAACACAATTCATTATTGCTGTTCATAATCATACACATCACCAATTATAATCACACGACTTCGAAACTTGAGTTTTATAGTCTTGGGGGTATTAAAATTTCTCATATTCGCAGTTGATTCGATAAACAAAGTTTCTCTTATCAATCTTCCCCACTCGCCACCCTGTTAGCTGTATTAGAGTTTAAAACTGTCATCTTATCCCATCCAGCCTATTGTATGGTAGGTTGTGTGTGTAATTGCATGTAGTGGTTGCGATAGTTGCTGAACTCGTCTCTAGATTTCTTATCTTATTCGGTCGGGTCAACTAATCTAGATTTCGCAGCTAGGTTTTTGTGCTTCTTGGCTAGTCTGACTGACTCACTGACTGACGCTGTTCTACTACTTCGACCCATCTATGTATTTGACGTGACAATCATTCCAGCAGACAGGGTATTAGATAAACTAAACTGTTTTGTCAGTTAGGGGCTCCACTGTCAGGATTGATGGTTTAACCGACAAAGCTTGTTTCTAATTGAGTTTGTGGTTGGTTTGATTTGAATACCAGCCACTTTTATTCCTGTCTGCCTTGTTAAGAATTCTCCGCTGTAAGCTGGTTTCCGAGGTTTCTTCCTTGTATGGAATTACTACTGATGATTTAGATTCCTTATTGTTGGTGTTGTCATTATCCTGTGCACATTTGACATGCATGTTGTCATTAATATTATTATTATTACTATCACTACTATCATTATTTATTTTATTTTTACATTTCCTTACATATTTCCTGACTAATTAATTTATCAGGTGAATTATTAAGTAGTTCCAAGGCTTCTCTTATACGTGGATCACTTCCTGTCTTAGATTTTCCTTGGTAGTGCTTAGTTTTTGTGCTCTGCTGTCACTTAACCATTTCACCAATCTTATTTTCACTGACATAGGATGGGTGGGCTGATCGGAAATCCATATATCTGCTGGACTGTGTGGGTCTCCTGTTAAACACACTAGCGTGTTTAACTTCCCATCTTCTTCCCTTTTTACTCTACAATCTAACATTGGTAGTTCCCTTTTATACACATATATTAATAAAATTTGTTAGGAAAATGTATGAACATTATAAATGTACAGTGAGTGACTGCCAACTTCAGTCAACTGGGTGTGTTCGATTCCATATATTATAGTAACTTGAAAGTCATGCTGTATAACACAGTAGACACCGCTACAAGAGTATTCAGCAATGCGGGTTATATATATTGGCAACTTGATGTGCAGATATAGGCGAAATACGGCACATATATCTTCGATATTGTGCTACTTTTTTTCTTCCGTATTCTGTTGGTTTTTCTTCCTTTCGTGTTTTTCAGGTTGTATTTCACACAGGCATTATTGATTCGCTCTCTTAGCTGTTGTATCCATCTCTCCTCTATTCAATATTCTTGGTTTGTAAGGATTAAATTTGTTTTTACGAGTTTAACGACGGATTGATATCAGTGAGAGAGAACCACTGGAAACCACCAATAGAGTACTGGACAGCTGTTTCATCAGCCTAGTTTGGGAATCATCGGCAGTATCCACTCGCTACTTGGTTTTCAATGGTTCTCTAACTGATATGAACACGTGATCAACTCGTAAAAACATAACTAACCCTTACAAACCAAACTATAGAAAGTTAATCTGATGCTCGCTAGTGACTTGCTACAGGTTGGAGTTTCCTGAGTTCTAGTGAGAAGTCGTGACCAGTGAGGTCCAATTAGATGTCACGTGTGTGGATGGATGTCCCACCAACGACAATGGTTGGGGTCGCGCTAAATCACGAATTGGTAGAAGTTAGAATTCATGCACTGGTTGGCCATTGAATCGGGTGGGTCCCAGTGGCAAAATAAAAATAATTATGAAATTGTAGTGATAACATAAATAAGAGAGAATATAAGTCATCTACAGTTATACCATATAAAGTGGGTATATATGAGACACTCCTTACGTAGGATTCTTAATAAAGCATTAATTAGGCTGGTGGTGGCATGTAAACCTACAAACTGACTCACTCAGGTAGGACAAGCTCTGTAGGGTAAAAGACCCGGTGAACCCAATTAAACAAAATAATGTATTTTACAAAATACTCTGCAATGACTGTGAGGTCAACTGTTTAGGTCATACTAGTAGACCGGGGGTAGTCAGATTGTCGGAACATAAGAATCCAGCTAAGGTAAGAATGGTTCACCCCACCGGAGAAGATAAGTCATTTAGAAAAGTGCTCAGCAATTGCACTTCATGCATTAACAAACAACCACACAATAGCATGGTGGGAGACGGTTAAGATTCTAAGAAGTAATCTATGAATGTGGAGATAAAAAGAGGTTGATTACTGAATCCTGCCTGGTTCATTGAGTCTACACCCAACACAACACATGCAACAGAAATGACTCAATGCAAATACCAGAAATATGGAAGATATTACCACCAGTCAGTGAAATCAGAGGAGGATAATTAATAATCTTAACTTGTATTCTATTTCAATTCAATTCACGTACATCATCACAACATTCTAACAAGTTACTTACTTATTTTGACTATAAAAGAAACACTCGTCTTATTTCCCATCTGATTATTGTAATTGATCACTCATAACACTCATATTATTATTATTATTTCTGAATGTACATTATCCTATATTACTGATTTGTATTCAGATGTCTAATCATCAATTCCACTCATGTATATAAATGAAGGAAACGAAAAAGTTTTGTGATTGAGTGACTTGATATGATTATGAGCGGCAATAATAATAAATTGTGCTCGAAATGGCGTGTGGTCGGATCAGTTAATATTACTGTATAACACCATTACACTGTGTGACACTTAATCAAAATAAACTCTTATCCGTAATGGATTTATACTCTTCCACCACAGTGACTACCCAAGTTTTATACTTATGTCAATTACATTGTTGTCCTTGCTAGTCATACCCACCTGCAATCGCATAGAATCTGTTTTCCTCTCTTCCAGAGGTAATTCTTTGTATACTCCTCATTTTTTGTTTCTAGATGTGTTTTCCATTTTGTTTTAAAGACTTATTTTGTTTATCGATTGATTTGATTGATCGTTGTAACATTTGTACTTTAAGAAAATGGTCTGTTACATTTATCATTGCTGTTAGCCTGTCGTCCCAGTTGTGATGATGATGATGACGAAGTTGGGATGAGTCATCACGTACGTTCATCCACATGTACATACGTGTGTGTGCATACGTTTTCGTGTACGTGAATGTGTACACGAAAACTCTCACTCACTCATTCAACAATAATTAAACATGTTGACAGTGTGTGGATACACACGCACACATACAAAGTGAGGGAGGGAGGAATAAACAGTCATCATGATTAATGATTTCTCTTCTTCTTCCTATTCATTTCCTTTAACGAACAAACAAACAAAGAAATGACCTTGACTAGTCAGTCATTGTAACAGTGACTGTCGTCATTATTTTTACTATCTGCTTACTTCCTCCCTTCAGTGCGCATTATCCCTGTTGTGTCGTGTCGTCAACACTTTGTGTAGTAGTATAGCATGACACATACCATAAACTTATATGTGTATGTATAATATGGTTTTACTGAATACAAAGTCAGCATAAGATAAGGAATTTAATTGAATTTTAGATTTTCAGCCTTCCATTGAGTGATTGATTGATTGGACCGAATCCAGGTTAACGCACATTTCGTCCCATTTTGGGACTCGTCAGCTAACTGGATGCACTTGCATTCCCCAGTGAGTCAGTGATGATGTTCCCTGCACTGAGTCTCACACCCAATGCCCCTTAGTTTGATTATTATTTATTTATTATTATTTCCTTTAATTCCTAGAAGAACATAAGGCTTCAGCCGCGCGTCTCCATTGCGTTCGGTTCTCTGCTGACGTTTTCACCTGGCTCTAAGTCTGCCCACATGCTTTCGTCATCTCCTCTTCAAATGACCTCCTCCTCCAAGTCACCCTTGCACGAACAACTCGCCGCTTCCCTTTCGGGTTCCACTCGAGCAATCCCTTGTCTAGTGATGTCACTTGATGGTTTCCTCAGAGTATGGCCACAATCCAGTCTACCTCCATTTCTTCGTGCCTATTTGTTTCACAATCGGTTCCTGGTTGCTTAGCTCCCAGAGATCCCCGTTGCTGATCTTTTCTGGCCATCTGATCTTGAGCGAAGACAACTGTTAGTGAAGGTCTATAGTTTGTTTGAGATGCTCTTTATGACGCGCCAAGTCTCTGATCTGTATAGTAGCACTGACTGACTTCACATTGGAGTTGAAAACCCTTACCTCATTTTCATTTTCATGCTGAGTAGTGCTGTTGATCCCTTCCACACAGACTTGAGAGTGATGAGAGCTTGTCTTGCTTTCCCAATCCTCGCTGCCTTGATGCAATCCTCGTCAGTTCCGTCCGCCTGTAGTTGAAACGATGCTTCACAGGTAGGTGGGTAGGTGAAGGAGGTTGTTTTTTTCAGGTTCCTCCCATTTATCCTGGCTGATTGTTATCTGTTATTGATGTTGTTGCTGTTGGTGTTGGCCAGGAATCTTCATCACCTACCTCTGTTTTCTCTGTGTTCACCTGAAGTCCTATCTTCTCAGGATGCTCGTTCTGGCAACTTGTTGCTTTTCACTTGGATATCTTCCAGCAGTTTGTGGGGAATCAGACATATATCATCGACGTAGTCCAGATCCTCCATGTTTTTTGCCCATAGTTTAAAACACCAGCCAAAGCGTTATCCTCTACTAGACACCACTTGGGTGACGACAGCTGGTCACCTCTTATGCAACGGGTCATATTAATAAATAATCGAGCCTCGGTGCAGGGAACATCATCACTCATTCACTGAGAAATGCAGGTGCATCCAGTTAGCTGACGAGTCCCATATAGGACCGGTCAAATACGCGTTATTCTTGAAGTGGATTCCACTATTGGCTAGTCACCATCCACCAATTATTAAGATAAGGAATGTATATGTAATAATAATAAAAGTAAAATAATGATTTCTCTTAGTTTAACCAATTTTATTGAACTAGTCATCAAAGAATACATTTGTCTCTTTCTGAAAAATCGATAACAGCAGTATGGTTTTTGTTATTGTTATGAATGCGAGTTGTTGTGGTTGTGGTTGTTTTGGCATTCTTCGTGAAATGTTTGAATCCAAGTACTTACAGTTTCAATACACCGATGGTGTGTATTTTATACTGTGGGTTGGCCAGCTAACTTCACTTCTCGGCCAAGGGATGAGAACTTTCCGCTGCCAGGTTAAACTTTCAGCACCAGTAAATACCACTAATGGGGAATGTAACTGGCACTAATGACCTTGAAAATGCTTACTGAGCAAGTTAGTGAAATTTGTCAATGAATGCTTTGTCGTCATCATCAATAAAAAAAAATATGCTCATCGTAGTGTTGTTAAGTTATTTATTCATCAGTGGAATGATCTGGGAAGTTTCAACTTAGGTGGTTTTAGGAAAGATGAAGTTACGATTTAGGCTAGGTCAAGGAGCAGTTAGGCTTAGGTAAACCTCCAATAAAGGTGAGATTTTGGGGTTAGTCAACTTAGGCATATTTTCACGTTGTGGTTACTAGGTTCAGGAAAGATTTGGGTTATTGTTTGAGGTTAGAAGACCTAAATAATTATTTGCTTAGAACGTGGTTGAGTTGCTCTGTTTTAATACAAGAATAGAACTTGTTCACTGTGGTGGTAGAATATAATTCTCTTGTGGGTAAAATTTATTCTGATAAAGTCTCACAGTGTTGTACAGTAAGTAATATTTGCTGATGACGTATTGAGCACAGTTTATTGCCCAGTAAATATTTCTGCATAACACTGTGAAACTTTATCGAAATAAATTTTATTCACAATGGAATTATACTCTGTTAACACTCAAACCTAAAACTGAGAGCTATTTTGATTTGATTTTTGTTATAGCTTGAAACCACACCGTATTTTCGGTTCAAGTATGGAATTTTCAGCATGTGATATTGGTAGCCCAAATTTTTCAGGCCGACCATAGATATCAAGTATGCGTCGGCAGGGAGTCGAAGCCCGGACCATGTGCATGGTCGGCGAGAGTCCTAACCACTGTGCCACCGACGCACACATACGAGAGGAAGGTATCCTGTGTAACACTTTTCTACAGTGTTTTTAATGCATTTTTTCATAAATATATGTGTATTCCATACACAAAAATACCTCCTTCACGTGATTGGTGCGCTCGAGGTCATTCGCTGATTGGTAGTTAGCGGTGCTTAAACTTTAACTTTGCCCTTTCCACTTGGGTGCTCGTTGACTGAACAATCGAAACACCATATATATATATATATATATATATATATATATATATATATATATATATATATGGGGTCTGTTGAGCTATTTCTAATAATATTATTTTTGTCAGTCTTTATGTTTGCACTGAAGATTGTCGATATTGGTGTTGTTGTTAGTGCTTGTAGAGTATAAGCGATAATACAAACTAGTCTATCAACGGTCCCGGCCGACAACTGCTACCTTGCCGTAGTGGTCTGGCTTGAATACCGCAGTTACCCAACAAGCTAAACTGGCGGGAACTCATGTTCCTGCAGGTCATTCCATATCAGAAAGGTTGTTTGGATAGCGGCTAAACTAAAAGCAGTTACCATGGGGTACATGAACTCCGGAACCCAATCGGATCAAATGGCGTATCAACTCTTATTGGTTGCTAGTAACCATGGGAATGCTGTTCCAATTCAAAGGCTCGGGGGGGGTCCCTTAAGCAAACCACCTGCTTTGGTCTGGGCACCCGGGCAGTACCTCAGCCCTCACACAACCGATGGAATAAAGCAACAAACTATCAGTGAAACTTATCGCGCACTGGTAACTGTGTGGGGCGCATCTTTCTTGGTACCGTATTGTACCAAGTTTTTTTCTGCGTTTAAACAAGCATGTGTGCGATTTCTCCCCAATATATTAAGAGGCATATTTCGGTATTTTTTGTTTCAATCTTGACTTTTGTGTAATGAGAATAACACATGATCGATCAAGTGTGTTGATGTTGTAATGCTTTACACACACATATATAATCGGTATCGTAGAGATGCAAAACATCCGAAATATTTTATGTATTGTATAATTTATTTGATAGTCTGAAATATTCCCATATTATGAATTAAAAGTCAATCTGAACGAAGAATATTCTTTTCAATAATTTCTCTTCAGGTTCTTACAATTATAAAATATAATATTTGTGGTCGTTACAATAAAGATAGCCAGTTATGCGGCGGATACATTTTTAACGTAGAATAACAGATTAGCAGTGATGGGGAGTCAAAATAAATAGTCATATTTGTGTGACAAACGTCGTGCTAGGCTGAAATCGATTAGAAAATATTGTAAAACGGGAGACAGTGGTGGTGGTGATTAATCATAATAGATTTGTAGAGTGTGGGGTAGGAAAATTGACAAATCAGTTCAAGGTTATAAAAGGTATCAGGTGAATGAGTGGCTAGTACAAAGTGGTCTGTGGTAAACAGGAGATAGTAAGACTGCAATGAGAGGATCATAGTGAGATAACGAATATGTGAAATGAAACAGGTGGCGGCATATATTGAGAAAACAGATAATATCACTAATAATAATAATTCTGGATAGTATAAATGAAAAATTCGATAGTATTGAAGGAATGTTTACATAAACGGCATAAATTATGACGAATAATAATAACTGTAATAATGATATTTATAATAATAAGCAAATTAAAAAAGAAAAAAAAAACCAAGAGGGTTAAGTGGAAGGAACACTCTTGGTGAGAAGAAAAATCTTCGATCGAAGGTTGGCCACTGTAGGAACAGCGTCTGGACGTGTTCTTTTTGGATACAAAGTCCCGATTTAGTCGATCTTATTGCAACAGCTTCAGCTATGTGTAGGAGAAGTAAGCGGACTGTACGTGATAACGACTTCGGAATTCGGTATATAACCCTGAAAGCTGTGTTGACATCGATGAGATGTCCAGCAGTTTCGACCAAGTGTGACAGGATCGAGCTTTTTATGCACTTAATTTTCCCCGCTGCTGAACCAAGCTGGTAAGTGTTCTCGAACCCGTAGACGAACCTGCCTAATCGTGCGCCCTACATTATTAACCTGAACCACAGGAACAGTTGAAATGGTATATGCATGAAGAAGAGCTAAGGTTAGGTAAAGACATCTTTGAGTTGCTGGGTGAACATTGGACGGGTACTGAAGGATAGACACAGACGTGCAGACTAGAAAGTTTTCTTGATCGCCCTGGTTATATATAATTAATTACCTAACGAATGTTATCTATTGAAAAGCGAATAGAAAAGAAATACCTTGTTGATAAACTTTAATGCAAATATAGTGGGACGGACGAATTTTAGAACTAACAGTTTACACATGGAATAGTAAGTAGCCTTATTATCACTAATTATTCTGTTTTCTAAAATAAGATAAAATGGCACTTGAACTAATCAGGACATACTGAAACAAAACAGTGATGATAAGCACATCGCTACACATGGATCCGTTGACACATAATCTGTTGTTGACCAGTAATCCCTTTTTTACAATGTGTAGTATATGACATTTTGTCAAATGTCTATAAAGGTGAGCTAGTTGTTATATATTATAATATCGATTTGTAAAGTAAGATCAATGCAATTTGCGGTGCTATTATTCTATCTCACTTATCTTGTGGATACACAACACAAAAGACAGTTTGATGTTAACAAGGCGGCTTTCAGGGTCATTTACCACAAACCGACCACAAAATCTCAATTTCGCCTCAAGAGTTTGACTTACTACTAAATACTGCTGGCGCTGGCCGACCGTTGGGATCCAGATTAAGAAGTGTAATTTGTGCGGCCAAAAAAAGTTGGTTGGTTCAGACATTATCCTTACCCGCTTGGCCATCCATCCAGGTTTGAATAATCCTGAAGTGAATTTTTGTGGAATTTCCATAATTTTAGCTGACATTCTATTCTCTACTATATCTTTATTTTTATTATTAATTGTATAATTTAGGCATCTTTAATGAACTACGGTGGTGATTCCATTGTGATCTTACTTTACAAATCGATGTTATAATTTAAAAAGCACACTAATATTGTTATTGACTACTACGAATCTAGAATATTCTATGTATATATAAACATATGCATATATAGATATAATTGTAGGGCAAGAAGAGGAGTGGGGGAGGAGGAGGAATTTATCGAAAAGGGGATATTCTTCTGCTTGGCTCAATTATTTTAATGTTTTATAAATGTCTGGAGGAATATTTTCACTATAAATCGTATATCCAAACCACCATGCCTTGCTTGCTAACTGAATGGGAGCCAGTCAAGAAACTGTATATATGTGGTCTAATGCCCCTACTTTACCTTGTTTTTTAGGCTGCTGCTAAAGATCCAGTCAGTTGTTCTTTACCAGCATTACATTTTTCTGAAGAAGATTCCTCGGCTTTTGAAACTGTCTATCGTCTGGTGTTGGATGCTGCGGAGGCAGGTAGTATTGGACCTGTCCAGTTATTCTCACTAGCACGTTATATGGATAGTCATGGATGGGTATGGAGAGCATTTCCGTTAGCACTGCATGCAACACGTTTATTTGTCTTGTCATCAACTCAGGTAAGTAAAAAAAAACCCAGAAATTTCATTGTTAAGTTTGTTTTAATATTTTCAAAAGAATGGATACTGTCTTCTCAATTGTAATATTTTACATTTTCAATCTTCTTGTTCTCTGTCCCCACCCACCCGATTTAATTTCTACACCTTGCTACCACCTGGTTACTGACTTGACCGACGCTCAATTTCTGGTCATTTATGTTACGTCATCTAACTTAATTGCTCAGTTTCAGTTCTAATTTAAATGGCATTATTCTCTACCCCATTTCTCCTTAGTCTATACTTGTAATTACCTCTGTTGCTATCCTGAACTAAGTCGAAACATTTTAGTCAGTTATATATTACGTCATCTAACTTACTAACTAACTAACTAACTCAATCTTACTTTAGTTGCTGTCTAATTAACCTTGTTTCTGTATTAGATCATTCTTGTATTACCTGATTAATTATCTAAACTTGACACGCACACACATACAAAATAATTATATATAAATTCAGTAAATGAAAAATCCCCATATTGAAATCAAAACAAGATTTTGAGCGAACAATTGTTTTCGATAACTTCTTCTTCATTTGCCTTTTCATTTTTTCATTTTCATTTTCATTTGCCTTTACTGGCTATATGTACTCTATTATTCATGGATTTATAACTGTAGAGCCTGAAGAAGAAGTTATCGAAAACAATTGTTCGCTCAAAATCTTGTTTTGATTTCAATATATAAATTCAATTGTACAGTGCTGTGTGAATGAATTCGCCGGCGGAAAGAGGAGTCTCTTCGCTGAATGAACGTCTTCTCTTCTTCATATGACTCAATGGGGCTGTTTATTTTAGTGAAACATGCTTCTAGAATTAGACGAGATCATTTGATGAAAGATACCTAGGGATTTGCAGTCTCGTATTTTATCAGCACGAAGTATAATTTTCTAGTTTAGTTAGGCTAACTGACTATGACTACTAGAAAGGTGGAGAAACATTCTTTTGAGAAGGCCGTTCCTTATCGAGAATAAATTCATGTCACAAGTTCTGTTTAAACTTCCAATGTGACTTAACTTTTTTAGGTGAAAAGTTAGTGTTTTAACTGATCGAAAATGCCCATTAAAATTGTTTTCAAAAGGAATGGATATATACTGAACAAGGAATAAATACTCATTTCGATAACCCCTTCCTCCCCATCATCATCTGGCTCTACAGTTAGTGATATATCCATCCATTATAGTCAGTGAATGAATGAATGAATTAGTGTTATGAACAACAACAACATATAATATTGCTGTTTAAATGACATCGAATCAATAATAATAATAATAATACCAGTGGATTACAGTTCAATAGCATCAAGATAACAATGCACACTGAATGTCAAACAGAGAAATTCGGAAAGATAATGTTACAAATTCATGAATTTGTAGTCTTCACCCACTGGAGGTCGGCCAAGGCTGTAGTAGGGGCTGGCTAGCTGGCTGGACTTGCTTCTTCTCCACACACACACACAGCACTCACTGGTTGTTTGAGGCGAATTGCAATAGCCTCTGGTGTTTGGAGCGTTCGGTGCTTCGATGATGATTTTGTCAACTTATTAGGCAACCGGTAGATGATGATAGAGAAGGAAGGATTCTTCCACGTTGAGTGGCTGGTTGGCTTTGTGGCTGGCCGGCTGACCGGTTTGCACCAGATGGTCCAATATCGAACTGTTGATTATAGTTTTCACTACACACCTTTACTTAGCCGTAGTGGGAATTTTAGTGATAAATTTTTAAGGGAATTTTTGTGTGTAATCGAATTTCAATCAGTGCAGCGTCACGATTGACGAAGCATCTGTGATTTCACGTCTACAGGTGAAGTTCATCTTTTTCACGATATTCTAATTTTGAGCAAATCAGGCTAGTAATTCATACCGGAATTAGAATTTTTTATATAGCTTGACTCCACACCGTATTTTTGGTACAAGTATGAAATTTTCAGCCTGTAATATATCGGCAGCCCAAATTTTGCAGGCCGATCATTGATATCGGGTATGCCTTGGCAGGGGATCGAACTCCGGGCCATGTCCATGGTCGGCGCGAGTCCTGTGCACTGTGTGTGTGAAAACCTTTAATCGATGAGACACATTATTTTGTAAATGTATATATTGGTTACAGGATTTCATCATGAGCTGACATTGGTTAGAGAGCCATCGGGTTCGAACCCCGGTGGGTGCGAACTGATGAAGAGCCCCAAACTAGGCTGACGAAACAGCTGTCTGTCAGTAATCCCAGTGCTGGTTTTCCGATGGTTCTCTAACCAGTGTCAGCTTTATGATGAAATCCTGTAACCAATCAACCAAATCCCTACAAACCAATACCAAGTGTCGCAATCATTCCACTACATCTCCAGATACAAGAAATTTAAACTGAGTAGTGAAATCATACTGTTTAATTATTGTGATTTTTTTTGCTTACCATTGATTATCTATTAGACCGATATGCTCAGCCTGTGTTGATATGCCGACTGTACGTTGGTGGCACAGTGGTTAGGACTCTCGCCGACCATGCGCATAGTCCAGGGTTCGAGCCCAAGACGACGCACACCTGATATCTATGGTCGGCCTGTGAATTTAGGGCTACCGATATCCACGCTGAAAATTCCACACTTGTACCAAAAATACGGTGTGGAGTCAAGCTGTAATCGAAAATAAAAAATAAAGTAAAAGACAAGGGCCAGTCAGGCAACAGATCGTTTATTAAGGAAATCGACACATTTTTATAGATTTTCATGTACATTATTATAGATTGTTGTTAGCAGACAAACACAGTCTTCTGATTGGTTGTTTTCTCACTCAAGGTTAATCTTTCATCTCTTTGTGGCTGTTTCATAAAGGACAGATCAACTATCTGCAAATTATACCCGCCCACGCAAACAAAGTGTGCTGTGATTGGTTGTTGAGTCAGTCAGTGTTTGTTCCTGTTTTCTCATGACCAATATTTGGGATATTTGGAATATTGACGTAAATTACTGTCTACCATTTGTTGGCTAGCAGACAGCTCTCACCGCACGACTTCTGTATACATATGAACGCCTCGATTAGATCCAGTGGAATTTAGTCGGTAAAAAGCTCTGGGCTATATAAGTATTCAATAATAATAATAATAAGGTTCATTAGCTCCTAAGTCGTCTCTTACATGGAAATGTATTTTGGCTAAAATAGATATATAACATTAACAATGTCTAGGTAGAGGTCCGTCTGCGTCTTCATTAGCATCATCGAGCGGAGTGCTTTAACAATCTGGGAAAAACCCCATCCCAATCGTCAAGGCCTGAAAATGCGTATTTCGATTTCTAATATCGTATTTCTAATAATATAAAAATATCGCCCTACGTAGATTATTCCGTTGAAGAGCTCTATCGAAATTTGATGAATTTATTATTAAATCCTGTTTTTTTAACCTTTGTTGTTTTAATTTATAGCGCCGGTGGACTATTTATTATATTACTATATTACAAATTGATTGGTGGATGGTGACTAGCAGTGGAATCCAGTTCAGGATAACGCACATCTCAGCGGTCCTATTTGGGACTCGTCAGCTAACTGGATGTACCTCCATTCCCCAGTGAGTCAGTGATGATGTTGCCACCACGGAGGCTTGAACCCAGTGCCCATAATTTCAAACGTGGAAGCCATCTACACAAGAAGCCAACTGACATGTCAACCTGAGACCGACGAGCACTTCGGTCCAGTCAATCAATGGACGGGAAAATCTAAAAATTCAATTCAATTAAATAATTTATATGACCCGTTGCACAAGAGGTGGTCAGTTCTCTTAGCCCGAGTAGTCTAGTGGATAACACTTTGGCTGGTGTTTGAAGCAACAGGCACTGGGTTCGAGCCTCCGTGGTGGCAACATCATCACTGACTCACTGGAGAATGCAGGTACATCCAGTTAGCTGACGAGTCCCAAATAGGACCGGTGAAATGCGCGTTATCCTGGACTGAATTCCACTGCTAGTCACCATCCATCAATTAAAAAAATTCTAATTACATGCCCAGAGATGGAGATGGATTGGCCATACGCTGAGGAAACCATCAAGTGACATCACTAGACAAGCCCTCGAGTGGAACCCGAAAGGGAGGCGGAGAGTTGGTCGTCCAAGGGTGACTTGGAGGAAGTCATGCGAGGAGGAGATGAAAGCATGTGGACAGACCTGGAGCAGGGTGAAGAAGTTGTCAGAAAACCGAAGGAAATGGAGGTGCGCAGCTGAAGCCCTATGTTCCTCTAGGAACTAAAGGATACAATAATAATAATAATAATAATAATAATAATAATAATAATAATATAATACATGCCCAGAGATTCTCGAAGCATCTCCACAAACAAGCCAACAGATATGTCAACACCTGAGACCGAGCACTTCGGTCCGAACAATCAATCAATGGACGGGAAAATCTAAAATTCAATTAAATTTACTACATTACCCTTGAAATTATCAAATTTGTGCTTGAACCATTAGGAGTAGCATTAGGAAATGGGTTGAAAATAGTATTATCCAATATTCATGGTGGTAACGTCGCGTAGATTGTTACATGAAGAAGGAAAAAAGCCAAGAAAAGGAGGATTGGATTCGTAAGGCTTTATTAGGGAGGAATTTTCATTATATTGTGGTGAGAGCTATCTGCTGCTAACCAAAAATTGGTAGACAGTAATTTATGTCAATGTTCCAAATGTCCCAAATATTGGTCATGACAAAACAAGAACAAAGACTGACTGACTCAACAACCGATCACAGCACACTTTGTTTGCGTAGGCGGATACAATTACCAGATAGATAGATAGATGACCTGACCTTCAAGAAACAGCCACAAAGAGAAACAACCAATCAGAAGACTGTGTTTGTCTGCTAGAAATAATCGATAATAATGTACATGAAAATCTATAAATATGTGTTGATTTCGTAAAGAAAACGATCTGTTCCGCTGGCCCTTGTCTTCTGTTGTTACAATATTATCGCTTTTTTTCTAGATGATTTAGTCAATTATTATTATTAGTTAGTCAGTTACGTCATCACACACACACATGCACAGATGAAGTCATTTTAAATTCTTGTATTTATTTTTAATTTTTGGTTTTTTTCATTCATTTATTCATTCCTTATTATAAAACATCAAAATTAAAGGAAGGTCATCCTGTTGCCAATGATGTTCTCTGGGCATGCCTGTTAGGTCATCGGCTTGGTCCAGTTGCATTACAAGAAATATTAAAACATGTTATTCATAATATACATTGTCCAACTTTACTAACAGATATCCTGCACAGATGTCGTACTATCCCATATGGAATGAATTCGATATCTCCTGTAAATTCGAATGTGAATCACCACCACCAACATCATCATCCGATCAATAATAATAATTGTTGTTGTTGTACCAATAATAGTAACAATATTAACATGAGCAACAATAGTAATGGCACTAATAATAATACTACTAATAATAATAGTAATAATTATGTTCATTCGAGTACAATAGATCAGTGTGTACTGATGAATAACAATCAACCAACCAATTCAATACACATTGGACGTAAGTTTACTGTGTTTTGTTTTGTTTCTATGTTGCAAAAATTTCCCTATGCCTTTGAATGAGTGTGTGTAGCGATTTATTTGAAGTTAAATACACCTAAAGGCTTTGTGTGCTTTTGGAAGTGTGTGTGTGTGTGTGTGTGTGTGGGCAGTTGTTACTTCCCAACTGCCCACACCACTGTGGAAGTTGATTGATTCTCCGGGTACATGAAACAAAAAAGAGGGTTGCTGTTACGTCGTGACCGCAGAGCCCAGCGGACAACTGCTTGAGGCCAACCGGCCGGTCACACACTAACTGTATGAAATGGTTTCTTGGATTGGTTCCGTATTAGTAAATTTACCACCTGTTATGGACAACTGTAGGTGAGGTAAGTTGGGATGTACAATTTTTGGGCTCGAATATTTCTAACCCCCTCTTTCCAACAAAGTGGAGAGATAGCATAGCTGGCTGGTACACTGAACATTTGAGGGAAACACCTTACTATGGATGTTACATCCTTGTTTCCCAGGAGCATGAATTCGCCCACAGCCCCTCAGAATAGTGTAAGAAAGATTCTTTTAATCTTATCGCAATCCTAACAACCTTCCTGGGATGATAGGTAGGACCTGCAGGAACATTGGTTCCAACCAATGCAGCTTGTTGGGTGATCGTGATGTGCAAGCCCGACCACCACCACGTCAAGGTAGTAGCTATCGATCGGGAAACACATGAGAAGATTAGCTGTCTTTGATCATAGGTGCCTGCGCTCTATCTCCCATGTTCACTGGTGGTATAATAAAGTGAGCAATATTGAGGTTAGGCGTCGGTTGACTTCTAGGTAAGGAGGAGGGGAAATCAATCGACGAGGCTGTGAAATTACATCGACTGGGATGGTTAGGACATGTGTACGCATGCATGCCTTGTCATCGCCTTCCTCGACAAATGTTAGCTGACATTGGATTGGTCAGGCTGGAAAAGAGCTAGCTATCGGCGGTCAAACCAAAACATGGCTTCACCAGTCAATGAAATCCACAACAGTTAGCCTAAGCCAGCCAGCCAGCCACGTAGGAAGGTATAGACTGGCTTCCTAACTGGTTGGGGTCCTCGCGATGACGGTAAAAACCAATGAAGGCTGGAAACAATCGGTGATGATATGGTTCAAAGTAATCGTTCTCAATGGCTGGCTGACTGGCGAAGATGCATCCACTCTTTGTGACTTATGATTTCCAATGAAACTATATCGTTCTTCGTTCGTGATTACTATTCCTTTGTCTCACACCTCTGTTTACTGTCTCTCTCTATTATGCATTTCTTCTACTTTCTTGTGTTGGTTTGTGTGGTACGTGGAGGAGAGAGTGTGGCGACTTGAACTGCTGTACATCGGTGCAAAGTAGTTCTATGTCGCAAACAGACATATAGCTACTTTTGACGTGGTTGTTGGGCTGTTACGTCGCGATGACCCAACAAGATACACTGGCTTGAACTATTGTTCCTGCAGGTTTTATCATGCCAGCAATGTTGTTGGAATAACGATTAGACTAAAAGCAGTTATCGGAATAGTGTAAGACATTCTGTTTTTACACTATCCTGGGGGTCTGTGGGTGGATTTTACACTCCTGGGGAAAATGGATGTAACGTCAGTAAGGTGTTTCCCTCCGATGACCAGCGTGCCAGCCACCTATGCTGTCTATCCACTCTGGAGAGAGTGCATTAGAAAAGGTTGACTCTAAAAATTGTACATCCCAACTTATCTCACCTATGGGGGTTCGTAACCGGTGGTAAGTTTACTCATACGGAACCAAACCAAGAAACCAGTTCATACAGGCCGTGTGTGACCGGCCGGTTGGCTTCAAGCAGTTGTCCGCTGGACTCTGCAGTCACGATGCAACACTAACACTCTCTCTGTTTCAGGTACCCAAAGAATCAACCAACTTCCACAGTGATATGGGCAGCCGAGAAGTAACAACCGCCCATACGAAACCTTCCTGAGCATCATTCTCCACTTTACCTACATCACCTTCATCCTCTTATTCCCCTCTTAAATACACCATGTGTGTTCGAAAACTGTGTTAATCTAAAATGTGTAAACGTAAAATAAAATGGCAAATAAATAAATAATCATGAAGATTGCTTATAGACGGATGCTGTGGATAGTATTCAGAAAAGTAACTTTCAGGCGGAATTTATTCAATGCCCAGGTCTACACACTACACTGGACTTAACACTGTTCTTAGAAGACCTTCAGCAACATTGTGCAATAATAACCAACGCAATAACCAAAACAGAACATAGATTGGTGACTCGCGAATCCTTTATTCTTGCACCAATATGGAACCACCCATAAGGTTATTATACACAAAGCCTGATCGTATTTCTCTGTCTTCTAGTGAACAGCGTACTATGGATGGAGCGATGACTGCAGTATCGGTGACTCCCGCCAAAAAATATGGAGTTGGTTTTGAGTAAACAACTACATTGACACTCAACAGCAACAAAAGGGATCCATCCCGCGCAGAATAATCTGGATCCATTTTACTTCGTCGGTTTTCATCATCAGCTGCGTACAACCTGAATTTTTTAATAAAATAAAAATAAAGTGTAGAAATTTAACAAACTTTTGTCCATTAGCAAGCATATTGTCATAGTGTTATAATGAAATAAGGCGTTGAGATTTACAGGGTGTCTAAAGTGTCATGTCATATATATATATATCTTGTTAGAGAGAAGTTTCTTGAAAAAAGATAATTAACTAACAGTTTTGTTGTTGGAGTGGTAACAAAAGAAAATTAGCAACAGTTACCTAATTAGATAGGAGAAGATCAAAATTTTTGGTGCACATGAGCTGAGGTCAGATGAGAAGTTGATGATGTAATACAGTGAACAGAACTCAGAAGATCAAGAAAAAATTATCTCTTGAGAGAGTGAAAAGATAAGTTAACAAAATTAGAAAAAAAAGAGAGTTACTAAGATGCAGTGAGTCACCAGGGTAATTGAAGTCCAACAACAACGGATTCATTTTGGACACACATAAGTCAGACAGGTTTCAATCGTTTTATTTCTATAGCTTCAGGAACCCTGAGAAGACTGGAGGTACTACTTTGTCTGTTAATTTTGTTATTTTGATTGATTCCAGGACATCTACTCGGTACTGTCCTGTGTCAATCAGGTGTTTTGCAGTTGGCGATTGAAGAGCTTAAACAATTCAGTCCTTTTAACCGGAGGCTCGCTCCTTGGTACATGTTCGTAGAATCTGACGTAGGCCCTCCTTTCTGTTCTTCCAATGTAACTGCTCCCGCAGATACATGTGAATTGGTTATACACAGTTGGAGGTAAAATGTGAGGGGTATTTGTCAATCTTTTACTGCACCAGTGAAGAGGTTGAAGGCTTTTCTCTTTGAAAACAATGCCAGTGTGAAGAAAGTCTAATTCTGTCTGTCAAAGGAAGGAAGGAAAACAGCAGTGATGATGATACATTCAGAACTATTCACGAATTCCACTTTACAAGAAGAAGACTGTCAGCTGGATAATGAATATTGTACACCAGGATGATTAAAAAACTCTGTAGAGAAGAGATTTCTTGTTACAAGCAATCAAAAGTGAAGGATTTCACCAGTTTTATAGACACATAATAAAACAATTATTTATCAGGTCATAAGACGAAAACTGTTAGTCTGTTGTTCAAATGAAAATAATAAGGATGGAGTCTACTGAAATGAAAAAAAACCAACAAAAATCCGAGCATGCCTTGTCCCATAGAGACAAGAAACAATAATTCCACTGTCGTCGAACCATCTGATAGCAAAGCAGCAGAATCATTTAATTACCAAATTTGAGAAACATTTATGGCGCTAAATCACGAATTGGTAGAAGTTAGAATTCATGCACTGGCGATTGAGGAATTGGGTGGGTCTCAGTCAGTGGTTGACTGGTATACAAGCTAGCTAGCTTTCCTTGTAACCGGAAGGTTCTGTGTTCGAACCCCAGTGCAGTGGTGACTGCGTACTGGCGATGATTCCCAAACTAGGCTGATGAAACAGCTGGCTTTCCAGTACTCCCTTTGGCTGGTTTTCAATGGTTCTCCGACTGATATATCAATCCGTGATCAACTCGTAATAACATAATGCTAAACCTTACAAACCAAACTATAGAGAATAAAGTAACCTTGTATTTCACTGAATCGTCTCTTCGAAAATCTCCTTATTCTGTAAATTTTCACACTTACTATATTATTCCCCGATCAATTAATACTCTGTTCAATATTCTTGCAGAAGATGCCATCTCAGTAACACCACTTGTCCATTCTATATGTCCATTTATCTCCCATCATCTTCAGAAAACAATCTCTGTTTCAACTAATTGACACCTTATCTTATCTTCCTATTTCTTTCTTTCTCTTTTAGGTAATCCGTGTACAACAGCACATTTTTGCCACGCATCACACTACATAAACAACAATAACAATAGTAATAATAACGCTAATCATCACAATAGTCCAATAGGTGTTCCAGTTGGTACTACAAGCAGATTATTGAGTCTGGATCGACCACCATTGAAAGGATTATTGGCTGCAGCCTTGAATGCGTTCATCAAAGCGACACACACAAGATTGTCCAATATTAGTCCACGTCAGTATTCAGAATTTGTTGACTTTCTAACACGTGCTAGAGATACCTTTCATTTACTACGACCTGACGGACCATTGCAATTCCGACAGTGGGTTGAATTTCTTCGACAAACGTATCGAGGGAAACGGAAATTGGTGTCGCTGCTGTCTGAGCGATTCGATTGATGATTATCTCTATCATCTTCTTATCTTCTTCTTCTTCTTGTATTTGTATTTGATCACAAGTGAGAACGCAGTGTTTTTTTTCTTTCACGTTCCCAGTGGAACATAAGGCTGCTAGCTAGAGGCTTGAAGTTTCTGTAGTAGTGTTAATTTGTTACAGGATGAGGTTGCTAGCCTCATGCCCAACCTTTCCTCTTTCCCAGTCTCACTTCTGGCTTGGTGAGGTAAAGGAGTGCTTTGGCGGCCGGAGATCGAACCCGGACCATGTGCATGGTTGGCGAGCGTCCTAACCGCTGTGCTACCGACGCACGAAGTGTTAGTTTAGTATTAATCATGATTTTGTTGTAATTTCGTTATAATAACTACTAGTTAGCCAACCAGCCTCTTAACGAATAAGAAAGACATTTGACTGTGTAACGTTGACTGGGTTGGGGGGTAGGTAAGTAGGCATGTGAACTTGTGAAGAAGAAGTGAATTGAAGAAAAAGGAGAATCGGGTGACAGAGGGGTTTAAATATAGGTAGGTAGTTGTAGGAGTTTGTGTTACAGCCAGAAGGTGGTGGGTTGGAACCCCAGCTATATGTGCGCGTACTGCTGAGGAGTGCCAAACGAGGCTGACGAAACGGCTGTCCAGTGCTCCCGGGTGTACCAATGCTTCTTTAACTGATGTGTCGGCTCATGATGAATCCATACAACCTCCAACTAATCAAACACAACGCCTATAAAACCAATACTCGAAGTAGTTAGAATGAGCCGCACTGGAGTGTTTGAATGTTGTAATAGGTGTGCAAATATCTGGTCAGTCGGTGTCATAGTCAGTCAGTTGGCAAACAGTGCTTTATTTGATTTTCAAGTATTGGTTTGTAAGAGTTTAGTTGATTGGTTACAGGATTTCATCGTGAGCTGCTGAAGAGACCCGAACTGGGCTAATAAAACAGCTGGCTGTCCAGTACTCCCAGGTGGTTGGTTTTCAAATGGTTCTCTAACCAATGTCAACTCCTGTAACCAGTTTTTTCTTTGATTTTATCGCTAGTAACTGAGTTATAATTTATCAGTTATACACCATCATAATCAGAAGGCGTCTTATTCTTGGAACGAACAATTAACGCATCATCTCACCTCCCGCTGTGCCCACCTGCCTGACTGGATACACACTTTGAGAGGAGTGGAGGTGATTTTGACGTGGTTGCGTTGTTGTCTGAGCTGAGGTAGCTAGGTAGCTGGCCTGGGTGGGTGAAGATGGTATAATTTCGAATCTGTGATTATCTCCCCCCTCAGGTGTAACTTCAATATAAAGCAGTATGATGATGATGATAATAACAGTGAGGAGATAGAGAAAGTATTGTCTGATAGGAGGACAGACAATGAAGAAAGCGTGACAATTTCAACCCAACATAGTAGTAGTGCACACTTTTTTTGTTAATAATTATTTATGTCTACTTACGAGTTTTGTACTCGACAGTAGAGTGAGTCAGATAGATAGATACACCTTAGGTGCATAAAATAGGTGTTATTCAATCCCCCAACGAGAGCTGAAGTCTTGAACGCAATCAAGCTTCTGAAATCTGGAAAAGCAGCCGGACCAGATGGAATACCCCCTGAAGCACTGAAAGCAGACCCAGAGACTACAGCAGACATGCTGACTCCATTATTGCAAAAGGTCTGGAAGGAGGGAAAGGTGCCTACTGACTGGAGGAAAGGTTACTTCGTGAAACTACTACCAAAGAAGGGCGACTTACGCCTCACTCTGCAAGAACTGGCGAGGAATCATGCTCCTTTCGACGCCAAGTAAAATCCTGAGTCGCATCATCCTGGAGAGATTAAAGGACGCACTGGAGACAGAACTCCGACTAGAACAAGCTGGATTCAGGAAAGGCAAATCATGTTCTGACCAAATTGCAACTCTACGCATCATCATCACAGAACAAAGCATGGAATGGCAATCAAACCTCTACCTCAACTTTATAGACTTTGAGAAGGCCTTCGGTAGACAGCGTTGACCGCGAATTAATCTGGAAATTACTCGAGTACTAGGACGTATCCCAAATATTCATCAACCTTATTCAACAGCTGTACGACGACGGCACATGTCAAGTGATCCACAACGGAAAACTCAGCAAGGCGTTTCGAGTAAACACAGGAGTCAGACAAGGGTGCCCGGTTATTATCACCAATGATATTCCTAATTGTGGTGGACTGGATTATGCGTCAGACAGTGAGTGGGAAACAAGAAGACAGGGATATCCTGGACCGACGTGAAGAACCTAGAAGACCTGGATTTCGCTTGTGGATGATTTATGTTTGATGTCACACACAGTTGAAGACTTACAAGCGAAAACCAACAAACTGGTCGAAGAAGCAGCCGGCGAAGACAGGACTCCAGGTGAACATAGACAATAAGGAGGTTATGAATGTAACCAACAACAGCAACATCCAACGTCAATCACCATCAACGGGAGGGATTTGAAAGAGGTTACTTCATTCACTTACTTATCTAGTGAGCATTGCCTCAACTACAGGAGGAGCGGACGAGGATGTCAAATCGAGCGAGAATCGGGAAGGCGAGAAACACATTCATCAACCTGAAATCAATCTGGAAATCTGCGTCACTCAGCATCGCCAACAAAATTCGGATTTTCAGTACAAACGTAAAGTCACTTCTTCTATACGGATGAGAAACTTGGCGGGTGGGTCACAAAGAATATTTCCAAAAGGCTGCAGACCTTTATTAACAACTGTCTTCGCTCTATACTGAAGATCAGATGGCCGGAAAGAATTACCAACAACGAATTATGGGAACAAACAATGCAAGAACCAATCGCCCAACAAATATGCAGGAGAAAGTGGAGATGGATCGGACACTCGCTGAGGAGACCGCTGGGTGACATCGCACGTCAAGCCCTCGAGTGTAACCCGAAAGGGGAGCGGCGTGTGGGACGTCAGTGGAAGGGTGACATGGAGGAGATCGTGTGAAGAGTTGAAAGAATATGGACTAACATGGATGCAGGCGAAAAGTACAGCAGAAGACAGAAGAAAAAGGAGACGTGCAGTTGAAGCCCTATGTTCCACTAGGAACCCAAGGGAGTAATAATAATAATAATATTCAGTTGTGAATTTTCAACGGCTGAAGACAGATGTGTTAAGGAAAAATCACCTTCGTTCAACTACTGAGTAGCGGAAATCTGTGACATTCCTCCTAATTTAGGTTGTATGATTCGCGCTGCTTTTGTTACTAAATGTTACTCTCTGGAGGAGGCAGACTTGAACTTTTTTAGTCAAACCGATTGAATTAAATTCACAGTGAGGGTGGAAGTGGGTCAGTTGTGGATGATACCGGAGAGTTGGTTACTTGATGGATTAGATGGACAATAAACAGTTCAGTGCAGTCATTGGCCAATCTGTGCGTCTTGTTTAGAAGACTAGTCTCTTGTAAATTTCAGCGCGTAACACTCTGAACACACAATTCCGTGGAATAGAATAGAACTGTGTGTGTATATCAGGCTAAGTGTGACACTTACCTCGTGGTGATGCACGCGTGCAGGCATGTATGGCTGATGATACTAGCCAGTAGTTCGATGGCTGAAGGATAGTTAGAGTGTGGGAGTCGAAGCCTGTATTGTGGTGAGTGAGAGCTGGCTGGCTGCAAGCCAACCATTGTAGACAACAGTTTACGTCGATGTTCACATCCCGAATCATCAAGGTTATGAGAAAACAAAGACAATACCAAATGCTTAACCTTGAAAAAATCACCAGCCCATCCATCACATAGCGGGGTTAGTGTATAATTCGCAGATATATATTTTGTAAGAAACGGCCACAAAGAGATCAGAGCGTGAGCTTCAGCAAGAAGATAAAATCAATCAGAAGAGGTGTTGCTTCTTCTCCGTTGACAATAATGTACGTAAAAATGTCTAAAAACCTCTTGATTTTCTTAATAAACGATGTGTTTAGATAGTTGGAGGCAGTCAGCCACAGGAAGCCTTGTCCGGACCTAGGTTTCGTTCTAGTTGGCACTCACCGGTAAGTCAGCAAGGCTTATCTACAACCACATTAAAGGAACAGCTCATGTCCCTTCTGAGGAGAATCGAACCCACTTCACCCAGTAAGTGCTGCAGTGTTTCCTGGCCCCCTTGTCTTCTGTCGTTAAACGACCGCTTCGACTGAAAACGGAAGAGTGCCTAAACAACAAATGAACGACATCTCCACTGGGGAGGGGTAGGTGTGCATACAGGTTAGCTGAAAGTATTCAAAATCGACAGCATTACTAACTGCTCTGTGTGTGTTTCTATATAATTGTTATCGCGTTTTATAGTTTGCTTGCAGATCTCGACCACTACTACGTCTTTGGTATGGGATGGTTGACTGTGACAAGTCTGACTCTACCTACGCGTGTGTTTTCGTGTTCTCGCGTTTCTTATGCCTGATTACATCATCGAGCATGTTTGATAACTCTGACTCTCTTCAGGTGTATGTTTACCGAGGAGAAGAATTTCACGTGTGTGTGTGTTCATTGTACATTAATAAACTGTTTGTTGAAAATGAAGAAAAAATAAAAATAAAAAATTTTCTACTTTTTTTCTAAAATTCCCTTTTCAGATCTTATCCTCCTATCCTGGAAGAAGAACACATCACATATGACTGAATGAGAGTCAAAATTACACACCCTACCCCCGCCCGCCGAATAACGACAAAAAAGCACTATCATCATGAGTGTTACTCTTTATTATTCTAAGGAGTTTGAAGAGACACACACACAACCTAACCTTTCCCCCCATTTTTTTTCTGCCCTGAATATTTGTATCAAAGTATTAGAAATTTAAATATATATACATATATTCATTTATAATTTATGTGGAATCTCAAGAGTCTTTCTCCTTGTATATTCTGTATGCCATTGTCGACACAACGTTGGTTGTGTGTACACACGAGCTAGCCGACTAGCTAGTTCGTCAGCTATCTGTCTGGTGAATTCGCTTTTTACACTTTCACACGAAACGACGTTAGTCCATGAGTGTCACTGGTTGGTTGGTTGGTTGGTTGGCTGGCTGGCGGCTATGAGAAAGACGTGGAAAGGAAATACAGGATGAAAAGGTTTATATTTACTTACAAGTGGTAGAGCACGTTGACCGCTTCACTTTTATTCGGGAAGTAGCATCAACCTGCCAGTGCCAACAGGTTGATCTTCTGATGAAATCTCAGCTGAGTGAGTACGGATACAGAGGGCTAGTTTCGTGCATATGCCCGCCAGTTGACGCAGTCTCTCTGGCTTAGTAGACGTGATATCCAACTGGTTGGCTGGCTGTCGACCAAAGGGCGTTTGTAGTGCTCAGGAGTCCGGTCCGTCCAGCTTTATGGCTGGCTGACTGTGAGACCTGGCCATTGAGAGTGGAAGACATGAAAAGTTTGACTAGCTGTCTTCGATGATAGGTGCCTTTGTTCTATCTCTTGTGTGAAGTGGTGGTATAATAAGGTGAGCAATATTGAGGTAAGGTGTCGGTTGAGTGCTTGATAAGGAGGAGGGGAAATCAATCAACTGACAACGGTGACCGTCTTCTACAATTATGTTCAGATAATCATCTGCTCCCAATCAGGACTAACTTTAGGCACAAACAGAGACATTGTATAACATGGCGACTTCCATCACCAAATCGACGCTGGACCCAAATAGACCACATAGCGATAAGGTATCGTTGGTGAGGGTCAGTAGAAGACTGCCGTTCCTTATGAAACACGTGCGTAGACTCCGATCAAGCTCTGGTTCGCGCACGTTTATGCTTACATCTAGACGGACATGAAAACATTGTTAGAAGCGAAGTAACTACGTCCCTAACTAGATCCCTATTTAAGGAAGAAATGGCGAAACGGGCATCTGAGATTGACACCAAGACTCCTCCGCCTCCTGGGGAAGCCTGGCTGGCACAACATACAGTTAGCTGTAGACGCAGCTGTAAAGGCTGTTAATAAGCTAAAACGAAACATCAGTAAGAGCCAGTGGATTTCTACTACCTCACACGAACTGATTGACGCAAGAAGACTGATTCCGGCGAGCTACGAATATGATGAGGAGCGAAAGCTGTCCAAAAGCAAACTAGTAAGAACCCTACGCAACGATCGTGAACAGTGGTGGCCAACAAAAGCGAAAGAGATGGAAAAGGCATCGACGATTGGTAACACCAGACAACTATTTAGACTTATCAGAAACAGGTGGCGACTTGAACTTCCGCACATTTGTGCAAAGTTCTATGTCGAAAACAGACAGACAGGTGCTAAAAGCCAAATGATAACTGAAACAATCTCTGAGAAAAATGGCACCATACTTAGGTCTGAGGATAGGCGACTGGAACGATGGAAGGAACACTTTCAGCAGCGATTCTTTTGGCTTACAACCACACTCAACCTACCGAACATCCAACACCTCTCTGAATGGGATGTAAACACAGGTCCTCCGTCCCTAACTGAGGTTACTAAAGCTGTCACTACTCTGAAACGAGGCAAAGCAATTGGACCTGATGGAATGACTCCAGAAGTATTTAAGTACGGTGGAGACAGTTTACTGTCTGCGTTAACTAAGATACTAGGCAGCGTTTGGGAATGAGAGGAAATCCCATCAGGCTGGTGTAAGTCCTTGATTATCACGATATACATGAAGGGAGACACGACTTCCTGTGATAATCACAGAGGGATTAGCTTGACTAATATAGTATCTAAAGTCTTAGGCTCAATAATCATGCGTAGATTAAGTGGTGCTCGGGAGACACAAACACGAGAGAGCCAGGCAGGCTTTAGACCAGGAAGAGGGTGTATTGATCATATCTTCACACTTCGACAGATTCTGGGACATAGGAATACTTACCGTTGGCATCCAACAGTCGTCATATTTCTTGACCTAAAGGCAGCATTCGACTCTGTCGATCGAGAAGTTCTCTGGCGATGTGTGGTTGGGAAGGGAATCCCGAGAAAATGCATTGCATTGATCAAGGCACTCTACTAAAACTCATGCAGACAGCTAGGTGAGAGCTTACAGACAGTTGTCATCTAACAACTGTGAGGACAACCAGTGGTGTCCTTCAGGGATGTCCGCTATCCCCATTTCTGTTTAATTTCAACATAGATGAACCAATGGACTTAGCCCTAACTGACGTTAGTCCATGAGTGTCACTGGTTGGTTGGTTGGTTGGTTGGCTGGCTGGCGGCTATGAGAAAGACGTGGAAACGAAATACAGGATGAAAAGGTTTATATTTACTTACAAGTGGTAGAGCACGTTGACCGCTTCACTTTTATTCGGGAAGTAGCATCAACCTGCCAGTGCCAACAGGTTGATCTTCTGATGAAATCTCAGCTGAGTGAGTACGGATACAGAGGGCTAGTTTCGTGCATATGCCCGCCAGTTGACGCAGTCTCTCTGGCTTAGTAGACGTGATATCCAACTGGTTGGCTGGCTGTCGACCAAAGGGCGTTTGTAGTGCTCAGGAATCCGGTCCGTCCAGCTTTATGGCTGGCTGACTGTGAGACCTGGCCATTGAGAGTGGAAGACATGAAAAGTTTGACTAGCTGTCTTCGATGATAGGTGCCTTTGTTCTATCTCTTGTGTGAAGTGGTGGTATAATAAGGTGAGCAATATTGAGGTAAGGTGTCGGTTGAGTGCTTGATAAGGAGGAGGGGAAATCAATCAACTGACAACGGTGACCGTCTTCTACAATTATGTTCAGATAATCATCTGCTCCCAATCAGGACTAACTTTAGGCACAAACAGAGACATTGTATAACATGGCGACTTCCATCACCAAATCGACGCTGGACCCAAATAGACCACATAGCGATAAGGTATCGTTGGTGAGGGTCAGTAGAAGACTGCCGTTCCTTATGAAACACGTGCGTAGACTCCGATCAAGCTCTGGTTCGCGCACGTTTATGCTTACATCTAGACGGACATGAAAACATTGTTAGAAGCGAAGTAACTACGTCCCTAACTAGATCCCTATTTAAGGAAGAAATGGCGAAACGGGCATCTGAGATTGACACCAAGACTCCTCCGCCTCCTGGGGAAGCCTGGCTGGCACAACATACAGTTAGCTGTAGACGCAGCTGTAAAGGCTGTTAATAAGCTAAAACGAAACATCAGTAAGAGCCAGTGGATTTCTACTACCTCACACGAACTGATTGACGCAAGAAGACTGATTCCGGCGAGCTACGAATATGATGAGGAGCGAAAGCTGTCCAAAAGCAAACTAGTAAGAACCCTACGCAACGATCGTGAACAGTGGTGGCCAACAAAAGCGAAAGAGATGGAAAAGGCATCGACGATTGGTAACACCAGACAACTATTTAGACTTATCAGAAACAGGTGGCGACTTGAACTTCCGCACATTTGTGCAAAGTTCTATGTCGAAAACAGACAGACAGGTGCTAAAAGCCAAATGATAACTGAAACAATCTCTGAGAAAAATGGCACCATACTTAGGTCTGAGGATAGGCGACTGGAACGATGGAAGGAACACTTTCAGCAGCGATTCTTTTGGCTTACAACCACACTCAACCTACCGAACATCCAACACCTCTCTGAATGGGATGTAAACACAGGTCCTCCGTCCCTAACTGAGGTTACTAAAGCTGTCACTACTCTGAAACGAGGCAAAGCAATTGGACCTGATGGAATGACTCCAGAAGTATTTAAGTACGGTGGAGACAGTTTACTGTCTGCGTTAACTAAGATACTAGGCAGCGTTTGGGAATGAGAGGAAATCCCATCAGGCTGGTGTAAGTCCTTGATTATCACGATATACATGAAGGGAGACACGACTTCCTGTGATAATCACAGAGGGATTAGCTTGATTAATATAGTATCTAAAGTCTTAGGCTCAATAATCATGCGTAGATTAAGTGGTGCTCGGGAGACACAAACACGAGAGAGCCAGGCAGGCTTTAGACCAGGAAGAGGGTGTATTGATCATATCTTCACACTTCGACAGATTCTGGGACATAGGAATACTTACCGTTGGCATCCAACAGTCGTCATATTTCTTGACCTAAAGGCAGCATTCGACTCTGTCGATCGAGAAGTTCTCTGGCGATGTGTGGTTGGGAAGGGAATCCCGAGAAAATGCATTGCATTGATCAAGGCACTCTACTAAAACTCATGCAGACAGCTAGGTGAGAGCTTACAGACAGTTGTCATCTAACAACTGTGAGGACAACCAGTGGTGTCCTTCAGGGATGTCCGCTATCCCCATTTCTGTTTAATTTCAACATAGATGAACCAATGGACTTAGCCCTAACTGACTTCAGCCACTCGACGAATGACTTCTTACCACGGTCTAATCTCGGTGGCTTACAATATGCAGATGATACAGTTCTGACTCCTAGGTGAAGACGCTGACGAAATGTAGACACGGTCTTCCGACGGAAAGCTGCTACCTTGACGTGATGGTCGGGCTTGAACACCGCAATGACCTAATCAAGCTTTGCTGGCTGAGACTTATGTCTCTTGAGGTCCTACCATGCCAGGCAGGTTGTTTGGATAGCGGTTAAACAAAAAGCAGCTACCCAATCCAACATCATGATCAATACAAAATCACAAAATTTCATGCCGGATCGGCCGTGGCCCGGATTAACAACGACCGCGCTTCCTGCTGCCGTGTCACAGGG